CCGGTTAGCCGGGCCCCCCTGGGGGCTGCGCCTCACGGACCTGGTTCTCTATTCCCCAAACGAGGGTAGCCGCTAGGCACAAGGTAGGAAGAATGGTCTCGGGGTCCGAGGGTGTAGAGGCAGGGCAATAGCGGCGTGAAAGCGCGTCCTGCTTAACATTCTTAGACCCCGGGCGGTAGGAGATGGTGAAGTTGAAAGGGTGAACAACAGGGCCCATCGAGCTTGCCTGGAGTTGAGACGCTTGGCGGTGCGGAGATATTCCAGGTCCTTGTGATCCGTCCACACTATGAATGGAAGTTCCGTCCCCTCTAACCAGTGTCTGCACTCCTCCAAGGCCATCTTCACCGCGAGTAGTTCTCGATTCCCCACATCATAATTCCTCTCCAGGGCGTTAAGGCGATGGGAGAAGAAGGCGCAGGGATGCAGCTTAAGGTCCAGGGCAGACAAGCAAGATTTCTGGCTCTCACAGACCTGTAACTTCTTCTTTAAGAGGCTCCTCTGTCCTCCACTCGTTACCTGTATTAATGGCACCTGTTTGAACTTGTTATCAGTATAAAAGACACCTGTCCACAACCTCAAACAGTCACACTCCAAACTCCACTATGGCCAAGACCAAAGAGCTGTCAAAGGACACCAGAAACAAAATTGTAGACCTGCACCAGGCTGGGAAGACTGAATCTGCAATAGGTAAGCAGCTTGGTTTGAAGAAATCAACTGTGGGAGCAATTATTAGGAAATGGAAGACATACAAGACCACTGATAATCTCCCTCGATCTGGGGCTCCACGCAAGATCTCACCCCGTGGGGTCAAAATGATCACAAGAACGGTGAGCAAAAATCCCAGAACCACACGGGGGGACCTAGTGAATGACCTGCAGAGAGCTGGGACCAAAGTAATAAAGCCTACCATCAGTAACACACTACGCCGCCAGGGACTCAAATCCTGCAGTGCCAGACGTGTCCCCCTGCTTAAGCCAGTACATGTCCAGGCCCGTCTGAAGTTTGCTAGAGTGCATTTGGATGATCCAGAAGAGGATTGGGAGAATGTCATATGGTCAGATGAAACCAAAATAGAACTTTTTGGTAAAAACTCAACTCGTCGTGTTTGGAGGACAAAGAATGCTGAGTTGCATCCAAAGAACACCATACCTACTGTGAAGCATGGGGGTGGAAACATCATGCTTTGGGGCTGTTTTTCTGCAAAGGGACCAGGACGACTGATCCGTGTAAAGGAAAGAATGAATGGGGCCATGTATCGTGAGATTTTGAGTGAAAACCTCCTTCCATCAGCAAGGGCATTGAAGATGAAACGTGGCTGGGTCTTTCAGCATGACAATGATCCCAAACACACCGCCCGGGCAACGAAGGAGTGGCTTCGTAAGAAGCATTTCAAGGTCCTGGAGTGGCCTAGCCAGTCTCCAGATCTCAACCCCATAGAAAATCTTTGGAGGGAGTTGAAAGTCCGTGTTGCCCAGCGACAGCCCCAAAACATCACTGCTCTAGAGGAGATCTGCATGGAGGAATGGGCCAAAATACCAGCAACAGTGTGTGAAAACCTTGTGAAGACTTACAGAAAACGTTTGACCTGTGTCATTGCCAACAAAGGGTATATAACAAAGTATTGAGAAACTTTTGTTATTGACCCAATACTTATTTTCCACCATAATTTGCAAATAAATTCATAACAAATCCTACAATGTGATTTTCTGGATTTTTCTCTCTCATTTTGTCTGTCATAGTTGACGTGTACCTATGATGAAAATTACAGGCCTCTCTCATCTTTTTAAGTGGGAGAACTTGCACAATTGGTGGCTGACTAAATACTTTTTTCCCCCACTGTATATAAAAATATAACCAAGGCCAACCCTGCTAAAAAAAACAGCATAGACCAGAGCCATATGTATAGAGAGTTCGGCCAAGTTTTTGAACTGCTGCCATGTTAGCGCCTTTATTCTGGAAATGTTGGTGATGTAACAACACGAGAGCGCCTCCGACAATTCCCTATGACCCACTGTAAACAAGAAAAACAGTGCAGCGAATTTACCAAACGTTTTAATTGATTAGCATTTGGGATAATGTGTTTCCAAGTCTGTGTTTATAGGTTGACAACTATCAGAAATAAACATCAACCTAGAGAACAACGTGGAAGCATCAATTATCAGTTAGCAACTGCTATGGAGGAGAAAGTGGCGCTCTATGAACGTTCAGACAGAAACCGCATTGGCCCAATTCTCTCTATATTTGGCTCTGGCCTAGACCAGCATACATTTCAAGCTGGTCCATGGTGGTCTATACTAGCTGATCCATGCTGGTGCTGGTCAGTGCTGGTCGGATGCTGGTCAAGCTGGTCTGACCAGCATGGTCTAGCAGGTATAACCAGGATCCGGCACTTCTCAGTTTTGTACTCTTTCGTTTCGGAACCCATTTGCCAGGATCAGTTAGCCTACCTCTTGTGGCATGAACAATAATGTTCACTGTTTGCAATGTAAAAATCCTAATAAAACCAATCAGAGTAATTCAATTTTGATTCCTCTGTAATTGTCATGTCCCCTAAAAAACGTAATGTGAAAACGTGCCTGATATTCTAAGAATTGATTCATGTTGGGCGGTCCCGGGTTTATGGTTTGAGCAACATTGTAGCCTATATAGACAAACGCGTGGCCATTACTGTGGTGAGATAGAGAAGCACGTCGGTATCTCTCACAGAACTGAAATGAGACACACTTTCTATGATCTCTCTCCCTCTCTGTGCTGTTATAGACATGAGCCTGCAACTCTCATCTCTCCAGCATTGCACTTCATCATTTATTTCCTAATAGAATAATAGCTGTGGGAAGTGTGCTGGAGGTGCTGCTGTTCAGAAGGAAATGAAATAATTCCCAATACTACACCAGGAGTAAGCCTATAATTTAGCCACAGATGATCAATGGCTAATTTTTAAAAAAATAGCCTAGCTGTGGATTGTGTGTAGCCAAATCACAAGGCTACAGTCGGGAACGTGTGGCAAATCTTGTCAGTGAACAGCATGCTGCCAAAACAGGCCTTTCGCAATATTTCAAATACAATCGCTGGAAAACACAGGTTGGAAAGCAAATGGATCCTGCTGAAAATAAAATATTAATCTGTCTGTATGTTACCAAGTTATCAACTTCCAAATAGGCCTATTGAGCGAACAGCATTGTTTTACAATGTAAAGCAAGAGAGAGATAAGCTTTTGGCCGATGAGTGAGCTGCACATCATTGGGTGAGTCAGTGAAACTATAAACTTTTTTAGGACTATAATTTCCTCCTCATATTGTACAATATGTGTTTCTCTACACACCTATGCTATTGATGGATTCAAGAGAAGGTCGTTTTTATTGATCTCAGATTCTCAGTTTGTCAGTGTCAAAGTAGCCTGCCATTTTGATCATTTGTGAGGTATTAAAAAAGATTCTGCGAAAGTCTCCAGTCATCTAAAATGATATAGAATTGCATGAAATCCGTTTAAAAAAGGCCACATTTTTCCCGGACTCTAGGCTACAAAAAATGTACTCCATGTGTGCAACTTTTGCAACTGGCTCCACACCACTGCTCTATGCCAGTAAGCAAAAGCGATGATAATGCATGCAATGCTTTATTAGAAAGATTTTTGTTATTTTTATGCGTTCCGGTACCTCTCTCGGGCTCACTTTCTGTTCCGGCACCTCCCAATTTACAAATTAAGCACTGGCTACTGCACATGCAGCAGCTACTCTTCCTGGGGTCCACATAAAACATACAAATACATGACAAAGTACAGAACAGTAATAGACAACAAAAACAAAAGATATTACATTAAATTCAAAATAAATAATAAAATAAGAGTTATATATAGGAAAGACAACTAAAATACTATTTACACACTACTAATATATACATATTCATATTCTTATATACAGTATAATAATAATAATAATAATATTCCATTTAGCAGACGCTTTTATCCAAAGCGACTTACAGTCATGCGTGCATACATTTCTTGTGTATGGGTGGTCCCGGGGATCGAACCCACTACCTTGGCGTTACAAGCGCCATGCTCTACCAGCTGAGCTACAGAGGACCACAGTACAGTTAAATTAGATCTAGAGGAGAAGCGCTGTGATACAATATATATATATATATATATATATATATTTATTTATTTTAAAGCTAAACTTGCTTTTGCCTGAGTAACCTCTGGTGGCAGAGCATTCCACAATGACATGGCTCTATACATAACTGAGTGACGCATTAAATCTGTTTTTGGTTTGGGTACCGTGAAGAAACCCATAGTGGCGTCTGGTGGGTATGTATGTCTGTTTGAAGTGTATGCAAATAGATTATACAAGTGGTTAAAATAACCCTTACCTAACCCTAACCTTAACCCTTACCTTAACTATTTTTAATTTCAACTTCAATGGGGTAGAATCCCGGATAGACGTCCCAAGGATCCCGGATTGCATGGCCCATCTGATTCCCACAGCTTTTCCGGTCGTTACTAGTTACCACAGCCACAAAGTCATAAACCCCGCCTATTTCGATTTTAAACCAAACCCTAACCTTAACGACACTGCTAACCCTAACCTTAAATTAATACCAAAAATCTAATTTTCGTTTTTATGAATTTTAACTATATAGCCAATTTTGACTTTGTGGCGGTCGTAACTTTTCCCTTCCAAATTGTATTGATTTATTTTCAATGTATGACGAGTTAATCATGTGGCCGCCAACCTTAGTCATATGACCGCGGTGTTTATTGTTCACTGATCTACCAAAGACAGTGCAGCATAACGAGTTGGAAGTTGTTTTTGATAAAAATGTGTCTGTTTGCCACTTTCACGAGGTTGGAGTAATAAAATGTTGGACTACTTAAGACGGCTCGAATCTAGATTCCCGGAAGTCTGTGGCTTTACAGTGTAGCAGTTTTTTTTGCACTGATTCCACAGTATCACAACTTTCTTTGTCAAAGAGCCGAGAGAATACCGAACGGACCTACCAGCATGGTTGCAAGGGCTGGTTTGATGGGGATACGAAGCCGACTCGCAGTGCTTTTCTCGGTTGCGCTATCTCCGTGTCTATGCACTTCTTTTGGCCAGGTAGGAAACTTGTCAGATATTTTGACCGGTTTGTCGGTCATGGGTTGTCTTCCTGATTCACTATCTATGAATGCATTTTATTCTGCAGAATTCTGCACAGTTTTGCAAGATGTACATATGTTGTAGATTGTTCACTGCAAGAAACCATCGCAGTATAATGATTTCGGGTACAATAAAGTTATGGTCCAATAGCTGTTATCTGTGACCAACAGTGGAATAGACTTGCTCTAAGTTTGCACTCCCAGGCCGTTGCAAAGCTAAGCGACCAAAACAGACCTTAACCTCCTGCACCTCAAAATGTAGTCATCCATCCTGTGTCTTCAGAGTATAATATAATAGCAGATAAGTTGACTTATTGGTGGCATATGTGAACATGAATATCACTTGTTCTGGAGGATCATGCCACTCGACATTACAGTTAATGATGCACTACTCCCAGTCATACATTAGTGAGCTTCGATCGCACAGATAATTATTTTACTGACACACCCTATTGGTCTTGTTCTGTCACTGAACACGTTTACATGCACACCAATATCCCGTTATTATCGGGATACTCAAGTATTCTGTTTTTGAGTTGACGCATATAAACATCAGATCCCTTTTAAAATAACCCGGAAAAGCTTGTGTCCCGGTTATAAGAAACCCGGATAAAATGCCTGGGATATGATTTTAGAGGGGATACTGTGGCATGTAAACATCTTATCCCGTTTACTGTTTTTCGCGGTCTGCGCAGACTCAATTATCGTGTGTGATGATGTTTTCATCTGATTGTCAAAAAAATTACTTAAAAAAGTAGGCTACCTGCGTAGTTCGATCCACCATAATTCCATAATAATTGATTTAGCTGATACTCCGTAGGCTACTGGACCGTATAGGCTACTGGCTACTTTTCTGTTTATAATTCATTTCCGACATTTGGTAGGCCATATTATAATTACCGCCATTTGTTTGTCAACTATAGTTAGATACATGCAGCTTCTCTTCTGTTCTAACTTGTTGCCCGAGAAGACTAAATAAACTAGTGCTCACCAGAATAATGTTTTCCATCGATAGAATGAACGGATTAGTAATCTAGTTAACGCCTGTAAAGTAGTCTGATTCGTTTAGGTACCGGGGAGAAAACGCAATAACTCTAAAACAGTCGAAACATTGGTCCTGTGCAAAATGCCCAAATGTCATCCGTTTGACAGGTTTTAAGGAAATGAAAAGCTGAGAAAACGATGAAACACATTAATGATAAGACTTCAGTTCGTCTTGGGTGCATATTTTATGTGGTTGAAATACTGTCTGCTTGCATAAGTGTCAAAGATAACACATTACACCGCATTCTAATTTTCTCAAGAGATGCTTAAAGAAGGAAATTATATTTCTCCACTTCTATTCCCGAGACAAAATTAACATGTGTTCTATCAGTTTACTGCAAGAAATGCATAATTCTGTTAATATTATATAACACTACATATGAGAAGTTATAGACCTACAGACAGTGTCCATATTTCAATTACTATTCCATTTAACCCATATTAACTTAAATTAGGAAAATTCTGTTTATTCATGGATACAGGGATACTTGGGAACGGGATATCAAAGGTGCATGTAAACAGCTTATCCCTAATAAGACCTTAAGCGGGATATGAGCTACTATCCAGAATACTGTGTGCATGTAAACGTGGTCACTGTCACATGCTGTCTTTTTTATAATTGTCTCTTTCAACAGTTCTTGTTTGCTAAAATCCAAGCTTCTTCCAAGAGGGAACTCGGAGGTTCGCTTTCTGCCCACTCAGTTTCTGGAAAGTGGCTGCTTCTGCCAAGCAATGAGCCAAATTGAGAGTCTCTCTTTCTTTCTCCCAGATTTACCCCCTGGTCTATGATGAGCAGTTGCTGTGGGTGAGTGGCGGGGCGGGGCAGGTGAGCACCTACCGGATCCCCCTGCTCTCCTTCACCCCCAAGGGCAGTCTGCTGGCCTTCGCTGAGGCCCGGAAGAAGTCTGCCAGTGACGTGGGGGCCAAGTTCCTTGCCATGCGACGCTCCACAGACAGAGGTAGGCAGGCAGTCAGGGCGAGCAAACAGACAGACAGACAGAGAGACAGTGTATTGCAGGAATGGGTAACTTTGATGGGGTTGGGGGCCACAAAATCGGAACTGCGTACCCACATCCATACCCACACATGCAGTCAGCTTGCCTTTTGGGGGCCCTAAGCAATATTTTGTTTTACAGCTACTTTCCTGCAACTGTACACATTTTGCCATAGGGTGGAGACAAATGTTTGCAGTTTTTAATATGATATCTGATGATCAATGGGGGCCCCCCCTGGTCGGTAATTCGAACATGATTACTACATGTTTAGATAGCTGGCCACTAGACTAATTGACCAATCTAAAACATTTTACCTGACATGGGCTAATTGAGTGATTGTCAGTGACTGACATAACAAGAGAAAAACTGCTGATGCACAACCAAATTTCGAAATGACACCTTGTGTATTCTATTAGACAAAAAAATACCCCGATTTGGGGGATTTTTACAAAATGTAATCCATTGAATAGTCCTTTGGAGGAAGGATTTGTTGACATATATTTGACATTTGTATCTAAAAGCATAATTGAGCAATAATTGTTCAAAGTTGGCATATTTATGACATTTGGGCCTTACCCAGGCCTCCTTTCAGACTCCATAATGTTTCATCTGTAGATGCTACAATGCAAAAATTGGTGTCATATGAAGATTTACCACTTGCTTTGTAATATGAGGAGTACCTTTTTATTTTACTTATTTTTAACAATTTATGAATATTGAAAAATATAAACATGAATATAGAGAAATTAAGATGTGGCTAATGTTTCTATATATTGTTTAACATAAAATACTAAGGGCATATCAAAGTTCCAGTGTGTCACTAATAGGAATTTCCAGGTGAACAAAAAGGAGAGCAGTAGCAGATAAAATCAATAAAAAATCTATGTTTATTACAAGTTGCAACAAGAATACCCCTCCAGCACAGAAGCAGAGAAAATGTCTATCTGACCTTCTCTGAGCAGGCCCTTCTATCTTAAAGGCACAGTGTCGTCAAATGTGATTTTCCTGTGTTTTATATATGTTTCCACGCTATGAGGTTGGAATAATACAGTGAAATTGGGAAAATTATGATAATTGCCTTTTAGTGTAAGAGCTGTTTGAAAAGACTGCCTGAAATTCCAGCCTGTTTTGATATTTAGATAAATGGCTGCATTGGACCTTTAATCAGAAAGCACCAAATGTTCACTTAAAGGTCCAATCCAGCCATTTATATCTCAATATAAAATAATTTCTGGGTAACAATTACCTCACTGCTAGGACTGTCTGGGAGTGGTCTGAGTGGGGAGGGGAAAACTGAAAACTAGCTGTTATTGGTTTGGAACTCTCTTTCTTTTTGATCTGTTAACTCATTTACTTCCTGCTGACGTCACCAGGCAGGCTAAAACTCAATACCACCAAAAAAGGCTGAAATGTATTTTTTATTAAATTTACACTAAAAGGGCATTATCATTTTCACAATTTTGCAGTATTATTCCAACCTCATATTGTGGAAATATATATATATATAAACATACAGTGCATTCGGAAAGTATTCAGACCCCTTAATTTTTTGCCACATTTTGTTACGTTACAGCCTTATTCTAATTCATCAAACTACACACAATACCCCATAATGACAAAGCAAAAACTGTTTTTTAGAAATGTTTGCAAATTTATAAAAAATAAACTGAAATATCACATTTACATAAGAATTCAGACCCTTTACTCAGTATTTTGTTGAAGCACCGTTTGCAGCGATTACAATCTCAAGTCTTCTTGGGTATGACACTACAAGCTTGACACACCTGTATTTGGGGAGTTTCTCCCATTCTTCTCTGTAGATCCTCTCAAGCTCTGTCAGGTTGGATGGGGAGCATTGCTGCACAGCTATTTTCAGGTGACCCTTCACCCCAGTCTGAGGTCCTTAGCGTTCTGGAGCAGGTTTTCATCAAGTATCTCTCTGTACTTCGCTCCATTCATCTTTGCCTCAATCCAGACTAGTCTCCCAGTCCCTGCCGCTGGAAAACATCCCCACAGCATGATGCTGCCACCACCATGCTTCACCGTAGGGATGGTGCCAGGTTTCGTCCAGAAGTGATGCTTGGCATTCAGGCCAAAGAGTTAAATATTGGTTTCATCAGACCAGAGAATCTTCTTTCTCATGGTCTGAGAGTCTTTGGTGCCTTTTGGCAAACTCCAAGCGGGCTGTCATGGCATAGGTGCCTTTTACTGAGGAGTGGCTTCCGTCTGGCCACTCTACCATAAAGGCTTGATTGGTGGAGTACTGCAGAGATGGTTGTCCTTCTGGAAGGTTCTCCCATCTCCACAGAGGAACTCTGGAGCTCTGTCAGAGTGACCATCAGGTTCTTGGTCACCTCCCTGACCAAGGCCCTTCTCCCCCGATTGCTCAGTTTGGCCAGGCGGCCAGCTCTAGGAAGAGTCTTGGTGGTTCCAAACTTCTTCCATTTAAGAATGATGGAAGCCACTGTGTTCTTGGGGACCTTCAATGGTGCAGAAATGTTCTGGTACCCTTCCCCATATCTGTGCCTCGACACAATCCTGTCTCGGCGTTCTACGGACAATTCCTTTGACCTCATGGCTTGGTTTTTGCTCTGACATGCACTGTGAACTGTGGGACCTTATATAGACTGGTGTGTGCCTTTCCAAATCATGTCCAATCAGTTGAATTGACCAAAGGTGGACTCCAATCAAGTTGTATAAACATCTCAAGGATGATCAATGGAAACAGGATGCACCTGAGCTCAATTTTGAGTCTCAAAGCAAAGGGTCTGAATACTTATGTAAATAAGGTATTTCTGTTTTCTATTTTTAATACATTTGCAAAGATTTCTAAAAACCTGTTTTCGCTTTGTCGTTATGGGGTATTGTGTATAGATTGCTCAGGATTCTTTAAAAAAAAATCAATTTCAGAATAAGGCTGTAACGTAACAAACTGTGGAAAAAGTGAAGGGGTCTGAATACTTTCCGAATGCACTGTAATTTATAGCACTTTACTCACAACTGATACTTTCCTCCCCTCTCCCCTTTCCCTCCTCTATACCTCCCCTCCACCCTAGGTGCCACGTGGTCTCCCACCTCCTTCATAGTGGACGATGGCTCACTGGCTGACGGGCTGAACCTGGGTTCTGTGGTGGTGGATGAGGAGACTGGCTCTGTGCTGCTGATCTACTCTCTGTGCTTCCACCAGTACCAGTGTGACCCCGCCAGTATTATGCTGGTGGAGAGCATGGACGACGGTCTCAGCTGGAGCTCACCAAGGAACCTCTCGGTCCAGCTGGGAGTTAAGAACTTCGCCCCCGGGCCCGGCTTTGGCATTCAGGTGGGTCCCTCTCTCGCACTCACTCACTCACACAGATATATATATATATATATATATATATATATATATATATATATATATATATATATAGATATAGATATAGATATATAGATATATAGATATAGATATAGATATAGATATATATATATATATATATATATATATATATATATATATATATATATATATACACAGTGAGGGAAAAAAAGTATTTGATCCCCTGCTGATTTTGTACGTTTGCCCACTGACAAAGACATGATCAGTCTATAATTTTAATGGTAGGTTTATTTGAAAAATCCAGAAAAACGCATGTCAAAAATGTTATCAATTGATTTGCATTTTAATGAGGTAAATAAGTATTTGACCCCTCTGCAAAACATGACTTAGTACTTGGTGGCAAAACCCTTGTTGGCAATCACAGAGGTCAGATGTTTCTTGTAGTTGGCCACCAGGTTTGCACACATCTCAGGAGGGATTTTGTTCCACTCCTCTTTGCAGATCTTCTCCAAGTCATTAAGGTTTCGAGGCTGACGTTTGGCAACTCGAACCTTCAGCTCCCTCCACAGATTATCTATCTGATAAAGGTCTGGAGACTGGCTAGGCCACTCCAGGACCTTAATGTGCTTCTTCTTGAGCCACTCCTTTGTTGCCTTGGCCGTGTGTTTTGGGTCATTGTCATGCTGGAATACCCATCCACGACCCATTTTCAATGCCCTGGCTGAGGGAAGGAGGTTCTCACCCAAGATTTGATGGTACATGGCCCCGTCCATCGTCCCTTTGATGCAGTGAAGTTGTCCTGTCCCCTTAGCAGAAAAACACCCCCAAAGCATAATGTTTCCACCTCCATGGTTGATGGTGGGGATGGTGTTCTTGGGGTCATAGGCAGTATTCCTCCTCCTCCAAACACGGCGAGTTGAGTTGATGCCAAAGAGCTCGATTTTGGTCTCATCTGACCACAACACTTTCACCCAGTTTCCTCTGAATCATTCAGATGTTCATTGGCAAACTTTAGATGGCCCTGTATATGTGCTTTCTTGAGCAGGGGGACCTTGCGGGCGCTGCAGGATTTCAGTCCTTCACGGCGTAGTGTGTTACCAATTGTTTTCTTGGTGACTATGGTCCCAGCTGCCTTGAGATCATTGACAAGATCCTCCGGTGTAGTTCTGGGCTGGTTCCTCACCGTTCTCATGATCATTGCAACTCCACGAGGTGAGATCTTGCATGGAGTCCCAGGCCGAGGGAGATTGACAGTTCTTTTGTGTTCCATTTGCGAATAATCGCACCAACTGCTGTCACCTTCTCACCAAGCTGCTTGGCGATGGTCTTGTAGCCCAATTCAGCCTTGTGTAGGTCTACAATCTTGTCCCTGACATCCTTGGAGAACTCTTTGGTCTTGGTCATGGTGGAGAGTTTCGAATCTGATTGATTGCTTCTGTAGACAGGTGTCTTTTATACAGGTAACAAGCTGAGATTAGGAGCACTCCCTTTAAGAGTGTGCTCCTAATCTCAGCTCGTTACCTGTATAAAAGACACCTGGGAGCCAGAAATCTTTCTGATTGAGAGGGGGTCAAATACTTATTTCCCTCATTAAAATGCAAATCAATTTATAACATTTTTGACATGCGTTTTTCTTGATTTTTGTTGTTGTTATTCTGTCTCTCACTGTTCAAATAAACCTACCATTAAAATTATAGACTGATAATTTCTTTGTCAGTGGGCAAACGTACAAAATCAGCAGGGGATCAAATACTTTTTTCCCTCACTGTATATCGGGTGAAAGTAGATTTAATTTCTTCCCAGTACGGGGACCTCCTATGTGTGCACGTGCTTTTTTTATTTTTTTTATTTTTTTATGGCCCTAATCATAGAATTACAAATAGGATCTCTATGGGCCTAATAGTAAAGATTTGTCGTTTCATTTTTAATATGTATGAGGCTACCTTTTTAATGTGGCATAAACACAACCATTTATGATGTTTTCATCTGATTGTCAAACAATTACTTCAAAGGCTCATGAAGACTACCTGCGCACGTTACTCAGGGACGGCTAAACGATATGGTGTGAGAAATACATTTTTAAGCCTAATTTATATATTTTTCTGCTTATAAGCTCCAACATTTGATAGGCTATTTGTTAGTCAACTTGTCTAAAATTAGATACATGCAGCATCTCTTCTGTCATTACTTGATGCTCGTATAGAACGCTAAATAAAGCCTTGCTCACCAGAATAATGTCATAATCGATAGAAAGATCAATCTAGTTGACATTGGTAAAGTTTTCTCTTTCATTTCTGCTTCTCTCACAGAGTGAGGATGTTTAGGGACCAGGGAGATTTCCAAATGACATCAGTTTGACCGGTTTAAAGGAAATGAAAAGCTGTGAAAAAGATCCAACATGTTTTTGATAGTATTTCAGTTTGTCTTGGATGCATATTTGATGTGGTTGAAAATGAAATACTGTCAGCTTTTATGTTGCTGAATAAATTTCACGTTTAGGCTACACAACAGGTCCATAAGTGCGCAATCGCATTCTCTCAAGATGCTGAAAGAAATGAATCATATTTCTCCACTCCTGTTCCCTAGCCAAAATTATCATTACATTTTGGACTATCATTTTACTGCGAGGATCACTTAATTCTGCAGGAATTAACATTATAATAGGCTACGTGTGAGGCTTACATTCAGTGTCCAGACTTCAGTTACTATTCCAACCATTAGGCTACTCCAATAATAATTGGAATAAATCTGGCATCCATACAGTACCATTTGATAAATGCAGAGACATCACTTACAAAACACAACAAAAAAAAAATGAATGAATGATATTCGGTGATTGTCATTCATTAGGCCTACACAAAGTCTCGGTCTCGGCCACTAATCTTTGCCTTTGCAAAAATGTCAGTGTTATTGTTGAACCACACCGCATTTTGGAGCGTATTCATTAAATCGTTAAAGACTCCAACCACCCAAGCTGTAGACTGTTGCTTCCGCATGGCAAGCGGTACCGGTACATCAAGTCTGACACCAACAGGCTCCTGAACAGCTTCTATCCCCATGCCATAAAACTGCTAAATAGCTAACTAAATAGCTAACAAAATGGCTACACGGACGATCTGAGTTGATCTTTGTATTTTATTCTCTATGCACACTCACAGGGCCCTACACACTACGCACACTGATACTCCAACACACATTTATACTGACTACACACACCCACTCACATACAATCATCATATACACTGCTGCAACTCTGTTTATCATATCCTGATGCCTAGTCACCTTACCCCTATACATATCTACCTCTATCGCTACAGTATCCCTGCACATTGTAAATATGGTACTGGAACTGAACCTGTATATAGTATGCTTACTTACCTTATCGTGTTCTTCTTATTTTGATATCTCGTGTGTTTTTGTTCTACCTTGTTATTTTTAGTATTACATTGTTATTGATTACTGGATTGTTGTGGTTAGAGCTTGCAAGAAAGGCATTTCACTGTACTTGTGCATGTGACATTTAAAACTTAAAACAAAACAAAAAAACATGTATTCCACAAGTTTTCAAGTCTCTTCGCTAATTTTTCATACGACTGAAATGCGGTAATGATAAATAGTGTAATAGCCTACAGTTTTCTTAAAATCTATGTTTTAACTATTGTGATAGGCTCATGTTTTACCGGTATGGTGTACCCCCACTATTTATTTTGCTGCTACTCCATACCGGACCGTTCCGTCTTACTTTCATCCCTGCATATAATTTAATTCATATAATTTAATTCATATAATTTCCCCCGCTTTATTTGTTTGTCATCTCTACTTTCATATGAGAAGAGAGCTCCTTATTTCCTTCCTCGTGATACCATTGCTGACGTAGCCTACTGTGTGTTGTCAGTAAGTTTGAGTCATATCTCCCACGATGAGCTACTCTCTCTTTTTCAATACATCTGCATTTCCTACAGTGTTGTTAACCTGCCTGTGTGTATTTGGACTCAGCAGTATTTAGCTAGTCATTCTGGATGTTCTTTCCTTTATGAGGCCAATTTCTATCACCCCTAACCCTTATATTGTGTGTAATAAACCTTAGTAATAAATCTTAGGGTCAATGCACCGAGGTCAGTTGTTTCGATTGAACTGTTGTGCTTTGATAGAGTACACTATTTTGACTGTGTCTCTCCATGTCTCCACTCGTAGAAGCACTACCCTCCTGCTAAGGGGCGTCTGGTGGTGTGTGGACATGGCACCCTGGAGGGTGACGGGGTCTTCTGCATTCTGAGTGACGACCATGGACAAAACTGGAAGAATGGCGCCGCGCTGAAGAGCATCCCCTACAACCAGCCCAAACAAGCCCTGGACTTCAACCCAGACGAGTGCCAGGTAAAGCTAACCAGGGAGGGAGTGGGCAGGAAGGACTGGAAAGGATGCCACACAGTACAATACCTATATAGTTATTAGGCAACCCTTGAGTTTTACTAGTCTGTAGTTTTACTAGTCTGGTACTAGTTTTATAGTTGTAGTTCTGGTTTTGTGCTATAGTGCTGTATACTGATTACAATGCAGTTCCTCAACTTTATTTGTGTCAGGGATTGGAAAGATATTGATTTATTTGACTAACAACTATCAGTATCCCTTGATGAGAAGTGCTTGAGAAACTCTGTATTGGCTTTTAACAGATAAAGCCCATGATCAGGCTGACCTCAGTTCCTCAATCAAACTCCTCTCTGCCTCTTTCCACCCTCCGTAGCCTGTAGAGATGGAGGACGGCAGCATCGTCGTCAACGTGCGCAACCAGAACAACTACCACTGCCGCTGCCGCATGGTGGTGCGCAGCCTAGACGGGGGTGAGACTCTGCCTGTGGAGCAGCTGGTGTTTGACTCCACCCTGATAGACCCAATGGTAGCGGCAGGGGCGCTGCAGAAGGAGGGCGTGATGTACTTTACCAACCCAGCTGACAGTACCCACAGTAAGGAAAGGGGTGGGGATGGGGCCGGAGCCCTCTGGTGGCCCTCTGGTGGACAGAGTGGGTTGGACAGGGGGATAGTGGTGAGTTCTTTTACTTCCACCCTCAAACTTTCTGTCCCTCTTGCTTTCTTTCTCTGTCTCCTTCCTTTCTACCAGGGATCAACCTAACCCTGCGCTGGTCTCTGACCAATGGCACGTCGTGGGAGAAGAAGGCTGTCCAGATCTGGGCGGGCCCAAGCGGCTACTCCTGCATGACATCACTTACGAGCGGCGGCGCGGAGGACAGGAAGTTCATCTTTGTAATCTACGAGAAAGGCCACCAGGACTACGATGAGACCATCTCCTTCGCCAAGATCCACCTCTACGGTGGATTGTAGTAGAGTAAGGCTGGGAGGGGACTAGGTAGAGTCTGCCTCTAACCACTGGTCCAGGGTCAGGGTCCGTATTCTCAAAGCGTCTCGGAGTGCTGAACTAGCATCAGTTTAGCCTTTTAGAACATAACGAATTAGATTATATAGACAGGGGGACCTGATCCTAGATCAGCACTTCTACTCGGTGACACTTTTTGAATACGGGCCCAGATATTTTTATCTGCTTAATAATGGTTATGGTTAGGGAATTTATCCTAGATCTGTGGTTAGGAGCAGGTTCTACGTCCAGCTGGGGAGGGATGTGGGGGAGGGAAAGGGAAGAGGATGTTGAAGATTCTCTCAGGAAGGAGGACTCATGGGACTTTGCAGCACCACTTTGTTTTGATAGGTGGAGGGAGACATGGAGAAATACAAACTACTGTTTTATTATACCAAGAATGACAGTTGTGTGCCACTTTATCCTAAGGTGGGCTTTTAAATACATCAGGGTTGTATTCATTAAGGCACACCGCAGCAAAACGTAGCAAAACATTTTGCAACGGAAAACGGAAAGTTCAGGTAGTCCCTCCCTGTTTTAGTCTGTTTTCCTCCATTTGGTGCCTAGTATACATTTATTAGTATGGCCCAAGCATACTAATAAGGGTCCTTTACTGAAGCTATGATAGTCTGTAATGATTGGTGGGATGTTGGTGTAGCCACGCTTCCTTTCTGTTGAGGCTCCCATAGCTGAGAGGGGGGGGAAGTCTCCCACCCATCTCTTTTATTTTGTGATGTAGGGAAGGAAAATGTTTAGGGGGTTACAGTGCCTTGCAAAAGTATTCATCCCCCTTGGCGTTTTTCCTATTTTGTTGCATTACAACCTGTAATTTAAATTGACTTTTATTTATTTGGATTTCATGTAATGGACATACACAAAATAGTCCAAATTGGTTTAAAAAGTGGTGCGTGCATATGTATTCAGCCCCTTTGCTATGAAGCCCCTAAATAAGATCTGGTGCAACCAATTACCTTCAGAAGTCACATAATTAGTTAAATAAAGTCCACCTGTGTGCAATCTAAGTGTCACATGATCTCAGTATATATATACACCTGTTCTGAAAGGCCCCAGAGTCTGCAACACCACTAAGCAAGGGGCACCACCAAGCAAGTGGCACCATGAAGACCAAGGAGCTCTCCAAAAAGGTCAGGGACAACGTTGTGGAGAAGTACAGATCAGGGTTGGGTTCTAAAAAAATATCAGACACTTTGAACATCCCACGGAGCACCATTAAATCCATTATAAAAAAATGGAAAGAATATGGCACCACAACAAACCTGCCAAGAGAGGGCCGCCCACCAAAACTCACGGACCAGGCAAGGAGGGCATTAATCAGAGGCAACAAAGAGACAAAAGATAACCCTGAAGGAGCTGCAAAGCTCCACAGCAGAGATTGGAGTATCTGTCCATAGGACCACTTTAAGCCGTACACTCCACAAAGCTGGGCTTTACGGAAGAGTGGCAAGAAAAAAGCCATTTCTTAAAGAAAAAAATAAGCAAACACGTTTTGTGTTCGCCAAAAGGCATGTGGGAGACTCCTCAAACATATGGAAGAAGGTATTCTGGTCAGATGAGACTAAAATTGAGCTTTTTGGCCATCAAGGAAAACGCTATGTCTGGCGCAAACCCAACACCTCTCATCACCCTGAGAACACCATCCCCACAGTGAAGCATGGTGGTGGCAGCATCATGTTGTGGGATAGTTATGCATGCTCAAGGTTTCTGTTTTTTTGTCTTGTTTGTTTCACAATAAAATATATTTTGCATCTCCAAAGGGGTATGCATGTTGTGTAAATGAAATAATACAAACCCCCCCCCAAAAAATCAATTTTAATTCCAGGATGTAAGGCAACAAAATGGGAAAAATGCCAAGGGGGGTGAATACTTTTGCAAGCCACTGTATGTGTCACCAAGCCATAACAATATTGGGACAGACTTACTAAGCGTTTGCAACTGTGCTATTTCCATAGGGCAAAAAAATTGAACAAATTGTAAAAATACAGATTTAAAGAAGGTGCCTAGTATATGTAGCTCCCAGCCCTCTGCCTCCCAGTCCATATAGGAATGGTTGCACTTTCAGAATGTCAAGGCATTTATACATTTTCCTTTTGGCGTGAGAAATATCTGTATGATGAGACAGTTTGTGAGTGAATGGACATGATGAGTAGGACATGCAAAGTTTGAATACCATAAAGTTTTTTTTAACGAGGCATGGAGCCAGGGATCTGTCATTTAAATGTAATTTAAATCACCCTTTTTGTGCTATCAGTTGAAAGTTTAATTATCAACTGTGATTGTGTCACAAATCCCTCAACTCAGTTCCTGGTACTCCCCTTGTTGGTGAAACAATACAGCAATTTTCCTCAGGTTTCTATAGTAGATTTGATCAGTCTCGTCTAGGTAGCACACTCCTCTCCACAGCAGATGAAGTTGTTTCCCTCAGCTCACCTCGCTGAACCTAGCTGTGAAGCCGACATACTGGTATGCAATAGATTCCATATTTAGTGGTAAGACACTGCGTCTCATTAAATGCACATAAGGGTTTGATTGGTAATTATTAGAAAATGATTTTGATTAGAAACTGTTGCCTTGTATTGAAGAATCTGGATGCATATGAACACATTAATGTGTCAAAAGTTTAATTGCCATATGTTATGGTCTTTTAAGTCCACTTGATTTTGTATTTAATTTTGCATATATTCATCGCTTACTGTAAGATATTTATCTAGATATCTTACGACCTTTTATTACCCTTCCTTTCCTGAAAGTGTGTAACTTTTAATAGAAGGGCTTCAATCCATGTTGATGACCTTGTTTTAATCTAAGATTTGTGGTTTTAATGTTTCAAGTATGTTTTTCTGATCAAGAAATTGAATTCCAATATAACTAGCGATAAAGGGAGGTGTGAGTGTGATGTGTGTTTGAGTACTAATATAATATTCTGTATGTACGTTTAGATACTGAACAATTAGTGGGAAAACATCAGAACTGGGCTGCATGTGTAAAAGCAGGCATTGAACCACAGTGTGTGGAAACATACTGTATTAAAATCGTTTCTTACAATTTTCTTAAGCCTCTTGTAATGTTTTGGGATATCCCCTGGGTCTGTAGATAATGTACTGTATTCTGTATTTCCCTGAAAAGTGGAATGATTCAATCTGATATTTTTAGTTTGCCAACTCCTGTTTCATGCTGTGTGTGTGAGCACTAGCTTCAAATTGAGCTTTCGGAACAAAGAAATCAGTACACGTAAATGTACAATGTAAGACAAAATGTAAGATGTAGCTGTAAGATAAGGTTATAAAAGAAAATAATGCAAATATCATTTAACAGCTCTTTTATTGTGTATGTCACACTCCTAGACATAATATAACAGAAATATATTTGTTTGTGGTCCTCTGTAGCTCAGCTGGTAGAGCACGGCGCTTGTAACGCCAAGGTAGTGGGTTCGATCCCCGGGACCACCCATACACAAGAAATGTATGCACGCATGACTGTAAGTCGCTTTGGATAAAAGCGTCTGCTAAATGGCATATTATTATTATTATTGTTTAATATGACAATGTTGCCAGAATCTTATAGTAGAATCCCAAAGTGGGTCTTCTAAAATGTATTGTGTTTGGCACTAAAGCAAAATTATAATGGGGAGGGAACAAAGTTAATGATTAATAAGATACTTAATAAAATTGGCGGTGCTTCAAATGCATTCATAGACATTAAACACGTTTTTTGAAGATGAACCACAATGAAGGGTGTTACGTGTGACGTATTTTTCTTTCTCCCCATTTCCCTTTGTAGTGTGTTTGCGTGTTCTAGGCATTACAGGTGTGCTGACGATGGTGGGCGTGACTTCGGTCCGGAGTCCTGGCAGCTGTAGCTGATTGACAGAGTATACCTGTTTGCCATGTGAGCTCGAAGAAGGGGGGGAGAGGACACTTGTTGTTTGGGTATTGGTTGTGTTAATTTATCTTTGTTTGTGTTCCAGCCTGTCCTCCTGATGTACTCCACCCTACCTAGGTCCTGGAGAAGGGAAAGGTAGATCTGCCCATGGGTGTACATTCACACGTAGATAACCCATTGTTTTATACACTAGGTTAGCCGGGCGGGTGTCACCCCTGTATTTTTGGTAAACAGGTAGGAAAGTGGGTTAGGGTTAGAGTGTGATAGGAAGGTTTAGGTGTGTAGAAGAGGAGGGACCTTTTGTTTATTTTCATTAATTGGACCCCGTTCCCAAATATTCCCTTCTCTTTACTTCCCTGGTCTATTTGATTGATTTGTTGTTTCTTTATGGGTGTTGTTTATTTTGTTTAAGTACATTACTAAACGTCCCCCGAGGGCTAACCTTGAGATCTGGTTATTTTAGTTCATCAATTATTTTCACCCTGATTGCATCATCTTTTGGGTATCTGTATTTTACTTTATTATTTATATTTTTGACAACTTTTGCTTTTACTTCACTACATTCCTAAAGAAAAGTGTGTACTTTTTACTCCATACATTTTCCCCTGACACCCAAAAGTAGTCATTACATTTTGAATGCTTAGCAGGACAGGAAAATGGTCCAATTCACACACTTATCAGGAGAACATCCCTGATCATCCCTACTGCCTCTGATCTGGCGGACTCACTAAACACACATGCTTCATTTGTATCTATGCATACATAAAAAAAAAAAAGATGCCATCTGGTTTGCTTACTATAAGGAATTTGAAATGATTATACTTTTACTTGTACTTTTGATACTTAAGTATATTTTAGCAATTACATTTACTTTTGATACTTAAGTATATTAAAACCAAATACTTTTAGACTTTTACTCAAGTAGTATTTTACTGGGTGACTTTTACTTGAGTCATTTTCTATTAAGGTATCTTTACTTTTACTCAAGTATGACAATTGGGTACTTTTTCCAACACTGATTTTTTGCAATACTAGTGTATTTACCTAACAAGCACAAATGAATACAGTCATGGTCAAATGTTTTGAGAATGACACAAATATTAATTTTCACAAAGTCTGCTGCCTCAGTTTTTATGATGGCAATTTACATATACTCCAGAATGTTATGAGTGATCAGATGAATTGCAATTAATTGCAAAGTCCCTCTTTGCCATGAAAATTAACTTAATCCCCAAAAAACATTTCCACTGCATTTCAGCCCTGCCACAAAAGGACCAGCTGACATGTCAGTGATTCTCTCGTTAACACAGGTGAGAGTGTTGACGAGGACAAGGCTGGAGATCACTCTGTCATGCTGATTGAGTTAAAATAACAGACTGGAAGCTTTAAAAGGAGGGTGGTGCTTGAAATCATTGTTCTTCCTCTGTTAACCTTGGTTACCTGCAAGGAAACACGTGCCGTCATCATTGCTTTGCACAAAAAGGGCTTCGCAGGCAAGGATATTTCTGCTAGTAAGATTGCACCTAAATCAACCATTTATCGGATCATCAAGAACTTCAAGGAGAGAGGTTACATTTTTGTGAAGAAGGCTTCAGGGCGCCCAAGAAAGTCCAGCAAGCGCCAGGACGTCTCCTAAAGTTGATTCAGCTGCGGGATCAGGGCACCACCAGAGCAGCGCTTGCTCAGGAATGGCAGATGTGAGTGCATCTGCATGCACAGTGAGGCGAAGACTTTTGGAGGATGGCCTGGTGTCAAGAAGGGCAGCGAGGAAGCCACTTCTCTCCAGGAAAAACATCAGGGACAGACTGATATTCTGCAAAAGGTACAGGGATTGGACTGCTGAGGACTGGGGTAAAGTCATTTTCTCTGATGAATCCCCTTTCCGATTGTTTGGGGCATCCAGAAAAAAGCTTGTCCGGAGAAGACAAGGTGAGCGCTACCATCAGTCCTGTGTCATGCCAACAGTAAAGCATCCTGAGACCATTCATGTGTGGGGTTGCTCACAATTTTGCCTAAGAACACAGCCATGAATAAAGAATGGTACCAACACATCCTCCGAGAGCAACTTCTACCAACCATCCAAGAACAGCTTGGTGACGAACAATGCCTTTTCCAGCATGATGGAGCACCTTGCCATAAGGCAAAAGTGATAACTAAGTGGTTCGGGGAACAAAACATCGACATTTTGGGTGCATGGCCAGGAAACTCCCCAGACCTTAATCCCATTGAGAATGTGTGGTCAATCCTCAAGAGGTGGGTGGACAAACAAAACCCCACAAATTCTGACAAACTCCAAGCATTGATTATGCATTAATGGGCTGCCATCAGTCAGGATGTGGCCCAGAAGTTAATTGACAACATGCCAGGGTGGATTGCAGAGGTCTTGAATAAGAAGGGTCAACACTGCAAATATTGACTCTTTGCATAAACTTAATGTAATTATCAATAAAAGCCTTATGGAATGCTTGTAATTATACTTCAGTATACCATAGTAACATCTGACAAAAATATCTAAAAACACTGAAGCAGCAAACTTTGTGAAGACCAATACTTGTCATTCTCAAAACGTTTGACCACGTTACCTGAATTCTCTCTCTCTCTCTCTCTCTCTCTCTCTCTCTCTCTCTCTCTCTCTCTCTCTCTCTCTCTCACTCACTCACTCACTCACTCACTTTTTCTCCAGTTCTGGTAGTCCAGTGCCTCTCCATTTCCCCACAGCCAGTGTGCTACGCCAGTGTAGCAACTACTCAAGTTTTGCTTTAGTTGCTATGAAAAGGGAAGTTGTTTACATACCAAAATAGCAGTGGAATGGTTTCTTGACTTTGCAGTCAACTGAGGTTCATTTCAAGGGCAGCAGCAGTTGACCATTACTAAATTCAGCTTCAACACAGTTCTCCTTTGTATAAATTTAAAAAAGGAAAGAAAAAGATAATTCACATCACATGAATCATATTACTTAATTATTGAGGCATTAAATAAAACAATGAAGGGTGAACCGGGAATTTTTTTTTACCGGAATGACACCCATGTTGAATCGACTGCCCCATTTTGTCCAGTAACTCACTTTCAGTGGTCAGTAGCTCTCGAGTCAGGTTGGAGGACAGTGGCTGGAGGTCTGACCGTCTCCATGGTTGATGGTGTAGGCCGATCCACACTGCAACTTCACTGGTATTCCTCAGCTTCTCCAGTATCTTCTCGTTGTATGCGTCACTCATCACGCTGGCTAGGTCTGTGTGGCTGAGATGACAGTGCTTAAAAGCCTCTGTCCAGTTCTTTTTCTCTTCAACCAATGAAGGGTTGTGGAGATCTGCAATGGTTGTTGTCTGTTGTGGAGGTTTTGACTCAGAGAAATTGAAGGTTAAAATCTATAGACTGCATTGGATGGAAGCAACACTGTTACACAAATAAAAACGTTTTGTCCCCCCATCCCCCTCTCTAAGGCAGATTCACTTAAATGTTTCACCAAACACATACAGTACATATGGAATTATCTCAGCATTTGTTACCTTTGTTATAACATATGAAGATTAGATTTTCCCCACAGTCTCTCTCTTCCCATGTTCAATTGCGGTCCATGCTGACACACACAGGCCCTCCTGTCCATTTCCTGGAGCGCGCTCCACTCTTACCCTGAGTCCTGTTCCTCAAGCCAATCCAAGCTGAATCCATACCAGAGCCTTTTACGTTGTTGAAAAGGTCATCCATGTGAGATCTGTTGTTTACAGTGACTAAAGTGCAGAAGCCTTTGGCATCTTCCCATGTCTTTGTAGTACTACTGAGATTGTAACAGCCATCTGCTGAAAAACAGAAATATGATTTTTTTTGGCAGTGGTCTATGATACTGTAGTATTTAGCCGAACACATAGCTACTGTGAGGTCCAAAATGATTGGCACCCTTGATAAAGATGAGCAAAAAGGACTGTATAAAATAAATAATAAAAATACTGAGCTATATTGTATACAATATACAGTGGGGAAAAAAAGTATTTAGTCAGCCACCAATTGTGCAATATCTCCCACTTAAAAAGATGAGAGGCCTGTAATTTTCATCATAGGTACACGTCAAGTATGACAGACAAATTGAGAATTTTTTTCTCCAGAAAATCACATTGTAGGATTTTTCATGAATTTATTTGCAAATTATGGTGGAAAATAAGTATTTGGTCACCTACAAACAAGCAAGATTTCTGGCTCTCACAGACCTGTAACATCTTCTTTAAGAGGCTCCTCTGTCCTCCACTCGTTACCTGTATTAATGGCACCTGTTTGAACTTGTTATCAGTATAAAATACACCTGTCCACAACCTCAAACAGTCACACTCCAAACTCCACTATGGCCAAGACCAAAGAGCTGTCAAAGGACACCAGAAACAAAATTGTAGACCTGCACCAGGCTGGGAAGACTGAATCTGCAATAGGTAAGCAGCTTGGTTTGAAGAAATCAACTGTGGGAGCAATTATTAGGAAATGGAAGACATACAAGACCACTGATAATCTCCCTCGATCTGGGGCTCCACGCAAGATCTCACCCCGTGGGGTCAAAATGATCACAAGAACGGTGAGCAAAAATCCCAGAACCACACGGGGGGACATAGTGAATGACCTGCAGAGAGCTGGGACCAAAGTAACAAAGCCTACCATCAGTAACACACTACGCCGCCAGGGACTCCTCTGCAGTGCCAGACGTGTCCCCCTGCTTAAGCCAGTACATGTCCAGGCCCGTCTGAAGTTTGCTAGAGTGCATTTGGATGATCCAGAAGAGGATTGGGAGAATGTCATATGGTCAGATGAAACCAAAATATAACTTTTTGGTAAAAACTCAACTCGTCGTGTTTGGAGGACAAAGAATGCTGAGTTGCATCCAAAGAACACCATACCTACTGTGAAGCATGGGGGTGGAAACATCATGCTTTGGGGCTGTTTTTCTGCAAAGGGACCAGGACGACTGATCCGTGTAAAGGAAAGAATGAATGGGGCCATGTATCGTGAGATTTTGAGTGAAAACCTCCTTCCATCAGCAAGGGCATTGAAGATGAAACGTGGCTGGGTCTTTCAGCATGACAATGATCCCAATCACACCGCCCGGGCAACGAAGGAGTGGCTTCGTAAGAAGCATTTCAAGGTCCTGGAGTGGCCTAGCCAGTCTCCAAATCTTTGGAGGGAGTTGAAAGTCCCAAAACATCACTGCTCTAGAGGAGATCTGCATGGAGGAATGGGCCAAAATACCAGCAACAGTTTGTGAAAACCTTGTGAAGACTTACAGAAAACGTTTGACCTGTGTCATTGCCAACAAAGGGTATATAACAAATTATTGAGAAACTTTTGTTATTGACCAAATACTTATTTTCTACCATAATTAGCAAATAAATTCATAAAAAATCCTACAATGTGATTTTCTGGATTTTTTTTTCTCATTTTGTCTGTCATAGTTGACGTGTACCTATGATGAAAATTACAGGCCTCTCTCATCTTTTTAAGTGGGAGAGCTTGCACAATTGGTGGCTGGCTAAATACTTTTTTTCCCCACTGTAATATAAATTTAGCTCATTATTTATTATCTTTCTAAAGGGTGCCAATCATTTTTGGACTTGACTGTATATTATGTCAGATATGAATGCACAACCTTTTGGTACTGTCTATTATCAATTGAGGCGTCTGGAGCAATATATTTGTAAAAAATTATCTGAAATGAAAGGTAGGTAATCATTTTAAAAGATTACTTTCAAAAGTTATTTACCAGCAACACAATTAAAATATGTTTGTGACATGCAGTCTCCATCGTTCCTTCTCTTTTCAGGATAATGAGATCCATTCAGATAAACTTCAGCACAGAATGGTCCAGAATTTCCATCGTTGGGCTCCGGATCATTCCAGTACCGGAATCCAGAGGTTTTCCCATCAGCCCATTCCCAGGTGTCACGGTAGTGTTCGATTCAAATGGATCGCCCTTTCATTGTATTGTTGAGTGATTTGAGTTCTGCAAAGCTTTCAATCTCCACCAGTTTGGAACATTTTGCCCTACAGTGACTTTGGGCTTCAGACCAAGTAGAAGGCCTATTCATCAATGACAGATTGGACCAATCAAAGCCACCTGTGACATAAAAGTTTACACATAGACAAGGGTTCAGACAAACATTATCTCCTCCAACACTGTATACACACCTTTACATCTCACGAATATGTGTATATTGTCTGATATTACCCTTACCTTTTATTAAATACATAACTTTTTACTTCCTGTTTAGCAATTTTACAACATGATTTGTGTTATAATTGATGTTTAAAGAAGCATGAAACAATGTAAGAGAGTGGACAATGTAAGAGTGGATAAAGTTACTAACTTTGGCAGATGAATGACTTTTTCTCTGAGCAGGAAGCCCTTGTCCAGTATCCCTGCTCATCCACACTCTCGCACTCCCTTTGTCTCCACTTTTCAAACTGGAACTTCTCCCCATTTGACCACTGCCAGTTTTCACCACAGCTAACGTTACGTCTTAACCCAATCCAGACAGGACCAAAGAAACTGGAGTTCACCATAAGGAACTCATCAATATCTGAATGATTCTCAATGAAGGCTAAGTCAGTGTATTTCTTCCTGCAGTAATGCTGACCTGAAGACCATGTTCTGTTCTTGCTGTCAAAGACCGCAACAGCAATGTGACAGAGTATTGGTGAGAGATGAGCTAGAGAGAGAGGGTACAGAGTGAAACTCATTTTGTATGCCATAATAATATATTGTCATTGTTTAATTAATTAATATATATTGATATTGTAACATAATAATAATAGCAACATGTATAATTGTTATACTTAATATTATACTCTGTATAATAAGCAACAATTTGGTGAAAATAGGATCTTTCATGTGATTGTTAACATTTTACATATTTAAAATGACAAATTATGCCAGCCTCACCACTCTCACTACTACTTCATGTATTAGATGCTCTTTTAAACCGGTTATTGTGATGTTCATTTGAACATTTCTTGACTTTTCAATTAAAACATAGTGTTTGAAATTAAACAGAATCAAATCTGGTAGCATAAATGTACATGCTAAAAGCAAGAGGACAAATGTGAAATGCTGCATTTCTGGTTCAAAAGAAGATCTCCACAGCAGGAATTCAGTGTGCAACCATCACAATGAGATTGGTCTACTACTTGTCCATCTGCAGTTAGGAAAAATGTGGGGAAAACGATTAGTGGAATTATTGCATTACCCATAAAGAAATGGAAACAAATAATACAGTTATTTATGTAAATACAAATACAGGAACACCATGCTTACTAACCTGACAGATGCTGACGAGTGTCCAACTGACAGTTTTCAATGTTGTGAGTGAGCTCATGAGCTTCAGATAACCTTTCCTGGTATAATCTGTTCACTACTCCTCTTTTTGCACATATTCAAATATGAAGAGGCAATCACATAGGGAAATTAACCCCTGGCCCCTGCACTCAAAGTAGCTGCACCAAACAAAGATAATAAGCACTTTTTCATGCCTGTATTTTCCACCTGTTATATATTTTATTAAAATGTTTAAATTGGTATGCAACAGGCATCAGGTCCTGTGACATTACCGATCTAATGATTAACTTCAGTGGTTTTAATGACCTAACTCAAGGTTGGTTTGTTTTCTGTCCAAACAAATCCCCTTATTAGAATGGATTTTTGGGGGGTTTGTATGATTTCATTTACACAACATGCCTACCACTTTGAAAATGCAAAATATTTCTTCTTGTGAAACAAACTTGAGCGTGCATAACTATTCCCCCCCCCCCCCCCCAAATCACTGGAAGACTGAAACAATTTCCCTGTATTTAGTGCCATCCATCATTCCTTCGATTCTGACCAGTTTCCCAGTACCTGCCGATGAAAAACATCCCCACAGCATGATGCTGCCACCACCATGCTTCACTGTGGTCCTCTGTAGCTCAGCTGGTAGAGCACCGCGCTTGTAACGCCAGGGTAGTGGGTTCGATCCCCGGGACCACCCATACACAAAAATGTATGCACGCATGACTGTAAGTCGCTTTGGATAAAAGCGTCTGCTAAATGGCATATTATTACTGTGGGGATGGTGTTCTCGGGGTGATGAGAGGTGTTGGGTTTGCACCAGACATAGCTTTTTCCTTGATGACCAGAGTACCTTCTTCCATATGTTTGAGGAGTCTCCCGAGTGGCGCAGTGGTCTAAGGCACTGCATCGCAGTGCTAGCTGTGCCACTAGTTCGAATCCAGGCTCTGCTGTAGCCGGCCGCAACCGGGAGACCAATGGGGCGGCGCACAATTGGCCCAGCGTCGTCCAGGGTAGGGGAGGGAATGGCCGGCAGGGAGGTAGCTCAGTTGGTAGAGCATGGCGTTTGCAACGCCAGGGTTGTGGGTTCGATTCCCACGGGGGGCCAGTATGAAAATAAAAAAGAATAATGTATGCACTAACTGTAAGTCGCTCTGGATAAGAGTGTCTGCTAAATGACGTAAATGTAATGTAAAATGAGTCTCCCACATGCCTTTTGGCGAACACCAAACGTGTTTGCTTATTCTTTTCTTTAAGCAATGGCTTTTTTCTGGCCGCTCTTCCGTAAAGCCCAGCTCTGTGGAGTGTACGACTTAAAGTGGTCCTATGGACAGATACTCCAATCTCCGCTGAGGAGCTTTGCAGCTCCTTCGGGTTATCTTTGGTCTCTTTGTTGCCTCTCTGATTAATGCCCTCCTTGCCTGGTCTGTGAGTTTTGGTGGGCGGCCCTCTCTTGGCAGGTTTGTTGTGATGCCATATTCTTTCCATTTTTTAATAATGAATTTAATGGTGTTCCGTGGGATGTTCAAAGTTTCTGATATTTTTTTATAACCCAACCCTGATCTGTACTTCTCCACAACTTTGTGCCTGACCTGTTTGGAGAGCTCCTTGGTCTTCATGGTGCTGCTTGCTTGGTGGTGCCCCTTGCTTAGTGGTGTTGTAGACTCTGGGGCCTTTCAGAACAGGTGTATATATACTGAGATCATGTGACAGATCATGTGACACTTAGATTGCACACAGGTGGACTTTATTTAACTAATTATGTGACTTCTGAAGGTAATTGGTTGCACCAGATCTTATTTAGGGGCTTCATAGCAAAGGGGGTGAATACATATGCACGCACCACTTTTCCGTTATTTGTTTTTTAGAATTTTTTGAAACAAGTTCTTTTTTTCCATTTCATTTCACCAATTTGGACTATTTTGTGTATGTCCATTACATGAAACCAAATAAAAATCAATTTAAATTACAGGTTGTAATGCAACAAAATAGGAAAAACGCCAAGGGGGATGAATAATTTTGCAAGGCACTGTAGTTGAGGCAACAACAAAAACAAATGATGGAGGAGAGTAAAACAATTCATAAAATAAATGCTTTAAGTGTTGACCACTGAAAAAAAGTAAAACAATTACCCCACTTGAAAGCTACTCTATCATCTTCATACCTTTTTAGTAATATTCATGAATAGGCCTGCTGTCCATCGTGACATACGGAAACTGTTTATGCATGGTAAATAGAGAGAACTCACAAAATATGAAATTATGTTATTTTATGGTACTCAAAGTCAGGAGTGGAAAGAGTACTGAAATAGCTTACTCAAGTAGAAGTACTGTTACTTTAATTACATTTTATTCAAGTAGAAGTAAAATTACTTGAGTAAAAAAAACGACTCAAGTAAAAGTCAAAAGTAGCTCATTTAAAAAGTACTCAGAGTAAAAGTAATTGAGTTACTTAAAAAAAAACATTGACCTTGATAATTAAGGTTACCTGAACGGTGCTACACATTATCTTTTCCATGCATTAAATTAAAAAGGGAAGAGAGGAAATTAATGTACAGTAGGAACTAAGTTCATTTATTTTATGAGTTGTATTTTATGAGTTTATTTTTTCACTCACTCACACACAAACTCCCTCTTTCACTCACTCACCAGGGGTACTGAAATATCCTACTCACGTAGAAGTACTTTTTCTATAATGACATTTTCCTCAATTAGTAAAATGACTGACTTTGAAAAATACTCATAAAAGTACAAGTACTTGGAAAAGCTACTCAGTTATAGTAACGAAATTAGCTTTAATTAGTTACTTTACACCTCTGCTCAAAGTAATACCCATAAAGTAATACTCAAAGGTTTATGTGCTTCTACATCTGCATTGCTTGCTGTTTGGGGTTTTAGGCTGGGTTTCTGTATAGCACTTTGTGACATCTGCTGATGTAAAAAGGGCTTTATAAATAAATTGTATTAATAATAAAGCTTTACTCCTGCAATTACAAAAGTATCATCAAAATACAATTCCATAAAACATCAAATGCACCTTTCATATCCTGTATTTCCTGTGGCGCTATTATGATAACAATTCTTAGAAAGAATGCAGCATTGCCATCTAGTGATCCATGCATGTAATGTGTGAATTAAGACAAGGAGAACCCTAGGCCTATTTGATCAAACAGTAGTAATTTAACATATTCACTTGCAATTCATTCTTGTTACATGGAATATGGGTATAAGAAACTTTGCTTTTCCAAGAGATCCACATGATCTTGCACCAATAGGACACAATATAGGCTAGACCTAATTTGGTTTGGCAGGCAATGCATCCTCCCAAAATATTTGCACCTGCATGTTACTTTGACATCTTAGACCTTCCACCAAATTAATTTTTCACCTTTAAAGAGTGTTCTCTAAAAGCTTTACATCTATAATTCTGATATTGAGATGCTGTCTCAAAGCGTTGAAGAATGAGAATAGTTTCAGTATTTCCTCCACAAGTTATAATCAACAATAATAATGTTTTGTTATGGATACTAACGGCAGTGCTGGGGACCCTGTGCTGCATCATGATAGTGCTGCTTGTCTATAGTCTACAATGAATTACTAATATATGAATGAATATATGAATGAATAATTGAATGAATGAATTACTAATGAATGAATGAATGACTAATATTATTGACCGTTTTTTAAGGGGAAGTTTGCCCATTTTTACGTTGCCTTATTTTCACTCTTTCTGAGCTTGTAGTTGATCCCCCGAACTGTATTTTGTTTATTTTTTGTTTCGTCACAGAGAAAATTGGTTGTCACATTTTGCTGAGTCATCACTTGCCATTGACTACAATACATTATGCATTATGAAAATGTGTCGAAAGCATGTTAGAAAAAGCTTTTAAAAAATCCAAAACAACCCATATTACATCAGAATCCCATTCTGAATGTCTCTTTACTCGATAAAAAAAAAAAAATGATCCCGCTCAAAATAAAAATAATCAAATATATTAAAATTAAAAAACAGTTTGGGGGATCAACTACAAGCACATAAATAGTGAAAATAAGGCCATGTAAAAATGAGTGAACTTCCCCTTTAACGCTATGGTAGTGCATGAGAGATGATCAAGAGGGATAACCCATAAACTATTTTATTGCATTATAGTGTGAGTGAAAAACACACATTTGATTTTGGTTTGGTGTTGATAAATAGCAGCCAGACCGTGAGACAAAATAAACACAGTAGACGGTTAACCGATCAGAGTGCTGCAAAATACATTTCATAGCTAAATGTTGGATAGGGCGTGATTTAAATCCATGCAAATGAAATAATCCAAAATGTTAGATCTGATAGGCCAAAATGCGGATTCGGAACTCATCATGTTAATTTGACCCCGCCCTCTTTGCGTGCCCTCCACCCCCTCTACGCTACGGGTCTCTAGTAGCCGTTGACGGCTCTTGTAGTGACGGATTAAACTGTCCTGTAATATTTTTATTTTTCATTGCTTTTGTGAAAAAAGAAAAAGGAGTACAAGTAAGCCGCTTTACACACATCAATATCCCCTCTCTGATTTTATAACATTAATTAATTTGTATTTGAGCTGGTAATTTAGCTTGCAAGCTAGGGTAAACGTTACTTGCCAGCGACAGCAATAAACTAGCTAGTTAGTAGAGGGCTAACGTGATTACATTATTCTGCGATACAACCTCGAGACAAGTCGGGACAAGACCAGGTTAGTAGCTACATCTTGTATTTCCTGATGTAAAATATTAGCTAGCTAACTATATTATAGTGGAAATGTAACGATGGTAACCGCAAAAGATGTGCTAATTTGCTAACGTTAGTAACTAACGATGTAACTAACGTTAGCATCGGCTAACAGTCACTCGCTAGCGACAATAGTGTTGGTTAGCTAACTACACTATTAGCTGCTTGGTTTGGTTCATAGGAGGGCGAGATGTAGAGAGGTCTATTACAGATGGCTAGGTTACTAATTTCGATATCTTGGTTCTACTGTATAGTTATACAATAATCTAGTTGCACAACAGCCATGTGTATCACGGCGTGGGTCATAGCTAAATTCAATGTTTGCATCGTATAGTTAGCTAGCTTAATTGCTAACCGGTTTGTTATAATGCAGATGGCCTTCCCACACCGCCATTTTGTTTGGTTCTCTTCATAAAATAATTTGCCAAATTGCCTAGTTCCTAGTATTTGGGCTTTATACAATCCATACTATCGCATTAAAAACTGAGTTGATTGACGTATTCACTGTGATTCAACGAGGAATGTAACTAAACTCATTTCACCACCGCAATTTAAGCTAACTGGATGTGCATTACGAAACATCGCAGTCCCCCTCCCAACGTGAACATGGAGGCCGCATTAGATAGCTGTTCAGAGTTAACGTTGGCTACAGTCAATTAGATGTTTATGCTAGTAACTATTTTTGGTGAAGCGGTATGCTTGGACTGTGTTGTTCTGACCCTTTCCTTTGAGTGTACTGTTATGATTCTGATGATGGCATGCTGTGGCTGGTCCTGAACTCCTTTATGCGTTAAAAGGCCCTTTCCTGGTGTATTGCATTGATGGCTTGCTTAACTGCCCTCTTAATCCCTGCAAAACATGTCGTTTGCCGGCCATCCCACGACCTAATTTTCTAATCTCATCGGGGTATTGAGGCACACAAGGTGTACTGCTATTTGGCAGTGTTTGGGACAATAGTGTGACTAAAAGTATATTTATCCCATTAAAGCAACCTGTATCTTAACTTAATACTACATACGTGCTTTGAAAACATCCTTTATTTATCATGTAGTGTATTTGGTGGGTGCCTGCCGGTCTCTATTAATATTGTTGCAGTCTTTTAAATGGGTCAAGTTATTTTGTCAGTTGCTCTTGTGGTTTGCAGTGCACTATTACAGGGGTTTCAAACTTCTTGAGGCTGGGACCCCTTTTGTGATGGCGAAGTCATACGGGACCCCCTCATAATCAGAACACAACTCGAGTGAGATAAAAATAGCATACAAGGACTTTTACCATGACTTTGGCAGTGCATGGCTGGACTAACCAAGTCTTGGGCCCTGGGAAGGAACATTTTAAAGGCCAGCGTCTTGGCATTGGAGAGAAAATGTTGCACTTTTCAAGCTAATTTCTTCAATTCTACAAATGTTTTAATGGGACAGAGAAATGTTGTTTTTTTTGTGAGCTCAATGCGAACCTTGCACTGCAGTTTCTCGAGATAAATCAGATCATGCCGAACTGTGCGATGTAGTAGGGAGTTGTAGTTTCCAGCAGGCCAATGTTATACATTGTTTAGTGCAGAAAACGTGATGATTAACTACGATGACCATATTCCATTGTGCGGCTACTTGTCCGGTATGTAATGTGAATAACTCATGGTTAATAAATGATAATCGGTCATGGGCAGTCAATACCATCATGGGACTTTTATATTTGTTTTGTTCTGCGTTACAGCATTCAACCCACATAATTCATAGTGCGTTTAATGTTTAAAAAATAATATTGAAATCGACAATCTTTATTTTGTTACTAAAACCGAACCGACCTCAAAGGGCACTAATCGCTCAGCACTAATCCTGCAATTCTACACATTTTGCCATGAGGCAGAGAGAGAATTTTGCCATATTAAAGCTTATAGTACTCTCCAGTGTAATTTTACGAAATATGTCCTATAATTAATTACAATATGAGTGAAATAGTTTTCCTGCCAAAAAATGGTAATTAAGTATGTTAAAAAGCAGCTTTCTCTCTGTTAGAATAGTGTGTGGGCGTACCCCAACAACAGAATGATGTGGGCGTTTACCGGTCATAAAAATTATTCATGCGTGGTTGGTCAGCTCATCCTGACCAATCACGCAGTGTTTTTTAATGTAATATATGCATTGGCCACAAATACAAGTATAAGATCAGTCAACTTTATTTGGGTATGAGTTAACAGAAAATTAACATTTAAAAGTGAGATTTTCAATGGACAGTTACTTTAAATTACAGAGCATTTATGTAAAAAAAAAAAATTGGGGCGAATACAAAGTTGAGTTGAACAATTTATAATTGACGGAGTACTGTGGATACCAATATCACGGTGAGCCTCCCAGGCCCATTTTGCGCAGGGTTTTTAGAGTTTTTAATATTTTAGAGTAATAATATTACATTGTATTATACCCCCTGAATTTATTCCATGGGTCCCTTTGCCAAAATTAATTTATTCTGTAAAAATATATATTTTGAGATCTGACCGTGGACCCCCTGCATTTTTTACGTATGGGTGGTCCCAGGAATCGAACAAACTATCCTGGCGTTGCAAGCTCCATGATCTACCAACTGAGCTACAGAGGGCCCCAGTTCAATCAAATCAATCAAATGTTATTTATAAAGCCCTTTTTACATCAGCAGATGTCACAAAGTGCTATACAGAAATCCTGCCTAAAACCCCAAACAGCAAGCAATGCAGATGTAGAAGCATGGTGGCTAGGAAAAACTCACTAGAAAGGCAGAAACCTAGAGGAACCAGTTGCGCATCTATTCATTTGATATTCATCAACTCATTGTGCAGCTTGTAATTGACCTCCATCTTTGTAAAATGACATAGAGGGCAACATCTTCCTCAAACAAGATTGCACCGCCTACAAAGACAGAGATTGTTTTTGTAATGTTTGATACGTTTACAGGCACAGAACAACTCTTTAGCTGTAGACAAATCTTTATGAATTGGACCGATGTCAGCCCAGTGGATTTTATTGGTGAGCAGTAAAATGGGCTCAACCCTGGTGTTGTTGCCATGGAGGCAACCCCTCTCAAGGCAGACCTAGAAAAAGTGAACATAATTTATAATGCATCACCATGGCAACTATGCAATGGATCGCATTATTCTCTCGGTACAGTATTTCCTGTGTTGACGTGTTCATGGCAATGAACTGTTCAAGTGCTAGCTCTGCTCACACATAGGTCTCTGTAATGTTATTGACCTGTCCTGAGCACTGTCCTCCCCCTCTGTCTGTCCTCACTACAAACTTTATCACGCATACACTGCTAAGCAAAGACTGGATATTGGGACTCGTTTTGTTGTTTAGAACCTGCGTCAACTCAACACCACATTTACCTTCACGTGCAGTGACCCATACATGGTGTCAAATGTCTCCATCTCTTTCTCTCTTACAGTCTCAGGGCTCACCATACTCAATGAGCGGACAGCGCAATGTCAGAGCGCTCTGGGCAAACTGCAAAGGGGAAGGATGGCAAATCCAAGTATGCGTCTCTCAACCTGTTTGATACCTACAAAGGAAAGAGCCTTGAAGCACAAAAGCCTGTTGGTGAGTATTTTTATTGTTTCCATTGTCCAAGTAGTGTCTTAGTGTGTGGATAGCGCAATGCCTCCCCTTTTAAAAGTGGAACCGTGTCAGGTGTTGACGTGAGGTGCTCAGATCAGGTCATCAGATCATTTTCTGATCGATCATAGGTGATTGGGTTTGTTGATATCGGTTATGATAAACGGGTCATATTATGCAATAATTTTTCTACATACGATCTATGGGCCGACTTGACTAGATGTGCATACACAACCCACATTTTAGCACTTAACATTTTAACATACAGTGGGGAAAAAAAGTATTTAGTCAGCCACCAATTGTGCAAGTTCTCCCACTTAAAAAGATGAGAGGCCTGTAATTTTCATCATAGGTACACGTCAACTATGACAGACAAATTGAGGGGAAAAAATCCAGAAAATCACATTGTAGGATTTTTAATGAATTTATTTGCAAATTATGGTGGAAAATAAGTATTTGGTCACCTACAAACAAGCAACATTTCTGGCTCTCACAGACCTGTAACTTCTTCTTTAAGAGGCTCCTCTGTCCTCCACTCGTTACCTGCATTAATGGCACCTGTTTGAACTTGTTATCAGTATAAAAAAGACACCTGTCCACAACCTCAAACAGTCACACTCCAAACTCCACTATGGCCAAGACCAAAGAGCTGTCAAAGGACACCAGAAACAAAATTGTAGACCTGCACCAGGCTGGGAAGACTGAATCGGCAATAGGTAAGCAGCTTGGTTTGAAGAAATCAACTGTGGGAGCAATTATTAGGAAATGGAAGACATACAAGACCACTGATAATCTCCCTCGATCTGGGGCTCCATGCAAGATCTCACCCCGTGGGGTCAAAATGATCACAAGAACGGTGAGCAAAAATCCCAGAACCACACGGGGGGACCTAGTGAATGACCTGCAGAGAGCTGGGACCAAAGTAATAAAGCCTACCATCAGTAACACACTACGCCGCCAGGGACTCAAATCCTGCAGTGCCAGACGTGTCCCCCTGCTTAAGCCAGTACATGTCCAGGCCCGTCTGAAGTTTGCTAGAGTGCATTTGGATGATCCAGAAGAGGATTGGGAGAATGTCATGTGGTCAGATGAAACCAAAATAGAACTTTTTGGTAAAAACTCAACTCGTCGTGTTTGGAGGACAAAGAATGCTGAGTTGCATCCAAAGAACACCATACCTACTGTGAAGCATGGGGGTGGAAACATCATGCTTTGGGGCTGTTTTTCTGCAAAGGGACCAGGACGACTGATCCGTGTAAAGGAAAGAATGAATGGGGCCATGTATCGTGAGATTTTGAGTGAAAACCTCCTTCCATCAGCAAGGGCATTGAAGATGAAACGTGGCTGGGTCTTTCAGCATGACAATGATCCCAAACACACCGCCTGGGCAACGAAGGAGTGGCTTCGTAAGAAGCATTTCAAGGTCCTGGAGTGGCCTAGCCAGTCTCCAGATCTCAACCCCATAGAAAATCTTTGGAGGGAGTTGAAAGTCTGTGTTGCCCAGCGACAGCCCCAAAACATCACTGCTCTAGAGGAGATCTGCATGGAGGAATGGGCCAAAATACCAGCAACAGTGTGTGAAAACCTTGTGAAGACTTACAGAAAACGTTTGACCTGTGTCATTGCCAACAAAGGGTATATAACAAAGTATTGAGAAACTTTTGTTATTGACCAAATACTTATTTTCCACCATAATTTGCAAATAAATTCATTAACAATCCTACAATGTGATTTTCTGGATTTTGTTTCTCATTTTGTCTGTCATAGTTGACGTGTACTTATGATGAAAATTACAGTCCTCATCTTTTTAAGTGGGAGAACTTGCACAATTGGTGGCTGACTAAATACCTTTTTTTCCCCACTGTATGTCTTCCATTTCCTAATAATTGCTCCCACAGTTGATTTCTTCAAACCAAGCTGCTTACCTATTGCAGATTCAGTCTTCCCAGCCTGGTGCAGGTCTACAATTTTGTTTCTGGTGTCCTTTGACAGCTCTTTGGTCTTGGCCATAGTGGAGTTTGGAGTGTGACTGTTTGAGGTTGTGGACAGGTGTGTTTTATACTGATAACAAGTTCAAACAGGTGCCATTAATACAGGTAACGAGTGGAGGACAGAGGAGCCTCTTAAAGAAGAAGTTACAGGTCTGTGAGAGCCAGAAATCTTGCTTGTTTGTAGGTGACCAAATACTTATTTTCCACCATAATTTGCAAATAAATTCATTAAAAATCCTACAATGTGTTTTTCTGGAGGAAAAAAAATCTCAATTTGTCTGTCATAGTTGACGTGTACCTATGATGAAAATTACAGGCCTCTCTCATCTTTTTAAGTGGGAGAACTTGCACAATTGGTGGTTGACTAAATACTTTTTTCCCCACTGTATCTAGGCCTGTGTCTGTAGAATATTGTTACAATGTTGAAGGCTTGGGGCGGTCCATTGCACTGATTTCTAAAAAGTGTCTCTAGAATGATTTCAGCATTTGAGACTGAGGAAAAGGCTAACATTAGGGCCTAACTGAAATTCTAATTTTACTCACTGAAAAGTAACAGAGTGAATGGAGGAATGGGAAGGTATTGAAGACGCTTGTATAAACTACAATGGATGGGTGCAGGCCCCATGGTCTGGTGGTCTAGGCATATGTACGCAACCTCAGAGACCAAGGTTCCGATCCCTGGCTCCTCCTTTCCCATTTTCTCTCCCTCCTCCTAATGTCTCCCAAACTGTTTCCAATCTGTCTGAAGAAAGCAAAAATGCCCTGAAATAATAATAATACTTAAAAAAATATATATATTTATACTCTACCGGTCAAAAGTTTTAGAACACCTACTCATTCAAGGGTTTTTCTTTTTAAAATTTTCTACATTGTAGAATAATAGAGAAGACATCAAAACTATGAAATAAGAAATATGTAATCATGTAGTAACCAAAAAAGTGTTAAACAAATGAAAATATATTTTATATTTGAGAATCTTCAAAGTAGCCACCCTTTGCCTTGATGACAGCTTTGCACACTCTTGGCATTCTCTCAACCAGCTTCATGAGGTAGTCACCTGGAATGCATTTCAATTAACAGGTGTGCGTTGTTAAAAGTTAATTTATGGAATTTCTTTCCTTAATGCGTTTGAGCCAATCAGTTGTGTTGTGACAAGGTAGGGGTGGTATACAGAAGATAGCCCTATTTGTTAAAAGACCAAGTCCATATAATGGCAAGAACAGCTCAAATAAGCAAAGAGAAACGACAGTCCATCATTACTTTAAGACGTGGTCAGTCAATCTGGAAAATGTAAAGAACTTTGAAAGTTTCTTCAAGTGCAATCGCAAAAACCATCAAGCGCTATGATGACAAAAGCTTCACAGAGTTCAAGTAACAGACAAATCTCAACCTTCAACTGTTCAGAGGGGACTGTGTGAATCAGTCCTTCATGGTCGATTGCTGCAAAGAAACCACTACTAAAGGACACCAATAAGAAGAAGAGACCTGCTTGGGCCAAGAAACACGAGCAATGGACATTAGACCGGTGGAAATTTGTCCTTTTGGTCTGGGGTCCAAATTGGAGACGCGGTGTGGGTGAATGGATGACCTCCGCATGTGTATTTCCCACCGTAAAGCATGGAGGAAGAGGTGTTATGATGTGGGGGGGCTTTGCTGGTGACACTGTCTGTGATTTATTTAGAATTCAAGGCACACTTAACGAGCATGGCTACCACAGCATTCTACAGCGATACGCCATCCCATCTGTTTTGGGTTTAGTGGGACTATCATTTGTTTTTTCAACAGGACAATGACCCAACACACCTCCGGGCTGTGTAAGGGCTATTTTACCAAGAAGGAGAGTGATGGAGTGCTGCATCAGATGACCTGGCCTCCACAATCCCCCGACCTCAACCCGATTTTGAGATGGTTTGGGATGAGTCGGAAGGCAGAGTGAAGGAAAAGCAGCCAACAAATGCTCAGCATATGTGGGAACTCTTTCAAGACTGTTGGAAAAGCATTCCAGGTGAAGCTGGTTGAGAGAATGCCAAGAGTGTGCAAAGCTGTCATCAAGGCAAAGGGGGGCTATTTGAAGAATCTCAAATATTAAATATATTTTGATTTGTTGAACACTTTTTTTGTTTGTTTACTACATGATTCCAAATGAGTTATTTCATAGTTTTGATGTCTTCACTATTATTCTACAATATAGAAAATAGTAAAAAATTAAGAAAAACCCTTGAATGAGTAGGTGTGTCCAAACTTTTGACTGGTAGTGTGTGTGTGTATGTATATAAATAATAAAGTAAAACTAGGGTGGTTGGCTCCGGTTAAGCAGCGAGCGCCCCTAACCATTCAGCCTGACCCAGCCGAGAGAGACAGAGCTCTACTTGTAATCAGTTTGACTTCAGCTTGTCTCCTCCTATGTTTTATTCACGAGCTGCCTAGCACATCTTAGCAGCTGTCCCCTAGTTTCTCTTTCAAAATACAACTCCCCCAAGTACTTCTGTGCTTTTCCTCAGCCTCGAAACAAATGTGGGATTGATTTTCCGTAGTGATGGGGCGGAAAAACCGATCCAGTTACATATCGGGATATTATTTTTGACTATCGTTTTGACAATATCGCAGTATTATTTTTTGTGCTATTTGCCTGTATATCCCTGCACCAAAACTCCAGTATTTTTCCTTCATATCTTGTTCACCGTCTTTTTAAATAGGGTGGCAATTTGTTTTCAGCACTTATTTCCATGACTGATTAAAACTAGTTTTTTCATGGCTCTCTCTTGTCCCTCTGCAGCAAACATATGGTGAGCAATATGTTTGGAACATTGAATCACAATAAGATCAAAGTATCTAATCACAATACATATAGAATCGTGAGAATCGCAATACATAGCCTATCGGCACCTAAGTATCGTGATAATATTGAATTGTGAGGTCCATGGCAATTCCAGCTTTATGGATGTGACATTTCCACACAATGAGAAACAAATTGTCTCACAGAATTAACTTATCTAGCATAAATTAAAATGTTGATGTGTATATTTGTAGAAACCTATAGGGGAAGTGTAGACAATTCTAAGTAATACCACTTTGAAGTAACGGTACAACTTGCAATTGTGGATGTGACTGAAATGGACAGGGTCTTTTGGGAGAACAAACAGTCTGTGAATCTCAAAGTTACATTTTTGTAACTTCATTCATGACAGATGCTTTCCTTAAAAGATTAAATGTTATTATCAATCACCTACTGAGTAACAGAATAAACGTCAAACTCATCAATTCAAACTTTTTTTATTTTTACAAGCTCATGCTTTGTATTAATCTCACACCCTTTAATCTGCCAGCACAGGCTCTATGAAATGGTACCTCCTCCCCCTGTTGTCCACAAAAGGACACAGGTACTGGACAACTTGACCTGCTGCCACCCAAGCCTTGGTTGGCAAGATGTACACAAATCCTGTGTGGTCATTTCTCCTTAAGAACTGCATTTCAACAGCATCAGTCAGTCTTTATCTGTTACCAGTCCCACTAGAAAAGTTCGATCGGGTTCAAGTCCGGGCTCTTGCTGGGCCACTCAAAGACATTGAGACTTGTAAAGAAGGCACTCCTGCGCTGTCTTGGCTGTGTCCTTAGGGTCGTTGTCCTGTTGGAAAGTGAACCTTCGCCCAAGTCTGAGGTCCTGAGTGCTCTGGAGCAGGTTTTCATCAAGGAACTCTCTGTACTTTGCTCCGTTCATCTTTCCCTCAATCTTGACCAGTCTTTCAGTCCCCTATAGGGTTCTACAAATATACACATTAACATTTTAATTTATGCTAGATAAGTCAATTCTGTGAGACAATTTGTTTCTCATTTTGTGTGGAAATGTCACATCCATAAAGCTGGAATTGCCAGGGACCTCACAATTCAATATTATCACGATACTTAGGTGCCGATAGGCTATGTATTGCGATTCTCACGATTCTATATGTATTGTGATTAGATACTTTGATCTTATTGTGATTCAATGTTCCAAACATATTGCTCACCATATGTTTGCTGCAGAGGGACAAGAGAGAGCCATGAAAAAACTAGTTTTAATCAGTCATGGAAATAAGTGCTGAAAACAAATTGGCACCCTATTTAAAAAGACGGTGAACAAGCTATGAAGGAAAAAATACTGGCGTTTTAGTGCAGGGATATACAGGCAAATAGCACAAAAAATAATACTGCGATATTGTCAAAACGATAGTCAAAAATAATATCCCGATATGTAACTGGATCGGTTTTCCCCCCCCCATCACTACGGAAAATCAATCCCACATTTGTTTTCGAGGCTGAGGAAAAGCACAGAAGTACTTGGGGGAGTTGTATTTTGAAAGAGAAACTAGGGGACAGCTGCTAAGATGTGCTAGGCAGCTCGTGAATAAAACATAGGAGACAAGCTGAAGTCAAACTGATTACAAGTAGAGCTCTGTCTCTCTCGGCTGGGTCAGGCTGAATGGTTAGGGGCGCTCGCTGCTTAACCGGAGCCAACCACCCTAGTTTTACTTTATTATTTATATACATACACACACACTACCAGTCAAAAGTTTGGACACACCTACTCATTCAAGGGTTTTTCTTAATTTTTTACTATTTTCTATATTGTAGAATAATAGTGAAGACATCAAAACTATGAAATAACTCATTTGGAATCATGTAGTAACCAAAAAAAGTGTTAAACAAATCAAAATATATTTTATATTTGAGATTCTTCAAATAGCCCCCCTTTGCCTTGATGACAGCTTTGCAAACTCTTGGCATTCTCTCAACCAGCTTCACCTGGAATGCTTTTCCAACAGTCTTGAAAGAGTAATAACAAAGCAAAAACAGGTATTTAGAAATGTCTGCAAATGTATTTAAAATAAATGAAATATCACATTTAAATAAGTATTCAGACCCTTTACTCAGTACTTTGTTGAAACAACTGGCAGCGATTACAGCCTAGAGTCTTCTTGGGTATGACGCTACAAGCTTGGCACACCTGTATTTGGGGAGTTGCTCCCATTCTTCTCTGCAGATGCTCTCAAGCTCTGTCAGGTTGGATGGGGAGCGTCAGTGCACAGATATTTTCAGGTTTTTCCAGAGATGTTTGATCGTGTTCACGTCCGGGCTCTGGCTGGGCCACTCAAGGACATTCAGAGACTTGTCCCAAAGTCACTCCTGCGTTGTCTTGGCTGTGTGCTTAGGGTCGTTGTCCTGTTGGAAGGTGAACCTTCACCCAAGTCTGAGGTCCTGAGCGCTCTGGAGCAGGTTTTCATCAAGGATCTCTCTGTACTTTGCTCCGTTCATCTTTCCCTTGATCCTGACTAGTCTCCCAGTCCCTGCCGCTGAAAAACATCCCCATAGCAAAAAAACAATTTAATCCATTTTAGAATAAGGCTGTAACGTAACAAAATGTGGAAAAAGTCAAATGGTCTGAATACTTTACGAATGCACAGTAAGTTAGGCCACTTGATTTCAACATCTGAACAAAGTGGACGGGTTAGCATGCTGTTCAAACAGTTGGAATCAGACAGAAGGGTATGTTCATAACAATTAAACCTTTCTACCTTGTTGGCTAGCAAATAGAACCAAGTTGACTAAACTTAAAATATAAAGATTAGCTGGCTACTAACTAGCACAGATTGTTTGAGACCTGTGTTACCTTTATATAATGCCTGCTGCAAGAAGTTAGTCATTATAAGTGAATGTGCATTATCTGTGGTTCTGGTTAAATTTGTAACAAAAAGGGCATTTTCATAGATCTACTTGAAAGCCAGATCAATGATTATTGCAAAAAATCTGGTTAATCTATTTTGATAAAATAATTACATTATTATTGGGTCTTATGGTTGTGGAAGGCTTATTTAGCCAGGCATAATTTCACAAGCCCTGAATTTGTTAGATTATTGCTGACTATTTGAAATGCAGTGTAATTAGCCTTTTAAATTGTACAACAAAGCTTATTTAGAAAAACATTTAAAATATATTATTTTTATGCCATATCGTGCAGCCCTAGTTGTAACTCAATTATCTGCAGTTCTTGATCACCTACATCCTGTGTCGGCGATAACCACTGTTGTTTTCATGACCTCCTCTCACCTCCCGTTGGTTCTCAGTGGTCTCAAATTACTGTGGTCTTTCTGCTAATGACCTTGTCTCCCCCCTCTCTTCCTCCCCCTCATCAGTTCCCCCCCGCCATGGCCTGCAGTCTCTTGGTAAAGTTGCCTCCGCGCGGCGCATGCCACCCCCTGCCAGCCTGCCCAGTCTGAAGGCGGAGAACAAAGGCAACGACCCCAACGTCTCGCTCGTTCCCAAAGACGGCACAGGATGGGCAAGCAAGCTGGAACCAGCAGACCCAAAGAGGTGATGAGGAGTCCCCCCGACACACTCCCCATGAGGCGCTCTATAGATTTCACTATACTAAATCCTTCTCAGTCAGCACTCTATTCACTGATCTTTACTATTTAACGTGGTTGGGTATTATTGCCTCTTGTTTAAATTCTACACCTGCCCAGAACTTGAATTTAATCGATTTATCATCAATATTGATGATTTATCTGAATTAGCAGGATTATCTTAATCTGCAGTATAAAATAAGAATTGACTAACGTTTTCTAATGGTGATATTAATATACAGATGCAATGTTATCTCAAGAAAAGCCAGCAATACTGCTGTGGAACATGCTAATACGCCTCTACTAACTCTAATTGGCACAAATGTCTGTCTGACACTTACCCATCTGGCGTTTCTCTCTCTCAGTACCGATGTATTGTCAGCACCGCAGCTGGAATTGCCGCAGCCTGTGGTTTCACAGACGCCTGTACCGACCCGCCCGAGAACCCCGCCAGCTCCAGAGGTACACACACACACCAATTCGATGTCAATGTGAACTGAAACAAAATCGTTCCATACCGCCATGGTGCTTATTGTTGTGCTGTTGTGTGTCTCTCAGGCTTCGCCTCCGGTTCCGGCCCCGGTTTCAGCCCAGGCCGCAGGGGCAAAGTCCTGGGCTCCGGCCAGTGTTACACATGGAGCACAAGGAGATGGTGAGTAAAAAGCCTTTTTACATCTGTCTGTCACTTCTCTCTTTCTTCATATGGGCACTTTACAGCGGACTTGACTGCATCATCAATGGCCTCCTAACTAACTCACGTTTGGATATTTAACTGTGAGTAACCCCTCATCTCTCGCACCATACAGGTGGAAAGGGATCAAACCAACCGTCGCCATTCTCTCGCGAGGAATTTCCCACCCTGCAGGCGGCTGGCGACCAGGACAAAGCTGGCAGAGAACAGGGCACTGCAGATCAGTGGTATGGGCCCGGACCAAGCCTCCGCCCTCCGAGTGAGTAACGCTCATCTCTTTATACACTGCTAAAAAAAATAAAGGGAACACTTAAAAAACACAATGTAACTCCAAGTCAATCACACTTCTGTGAAATCAAACTGTCCACTTAGGAAGGAACACTGATTGACAATACATTTCACATGCTGTTGTGCAAATGGAATAGACAACAGGTGGAAATTATAGGCAATTAGCAAGACACCCCCAATAAAGAAGTGGTTCTGCAGGTGGTGACCACAGACCACTTCTCAGTTCATATGCTTCCTGGCTGATGTTTTGGTCACTTTTGAATGCTGGCGGTGCTTTCACTCTAGTGGTAGCATGAGATGGAGTCTACAACCCACACAAGTGGCTCAGGTAGTGCAGCTCATCCAGGATGGCACATCAATGCGAGCTGTGGCAAGACGGTTTGCTGTGTCTGTCAGCGTAGTGTCCAGAGCATGGAGGCGCTACCAGGAGACAGGCCAGTACATCAGGAGACGTGGAGGAGGCCGTAGGAGGGCAACAACCCAGCAGCAGGACCGCTACCTCCGCCTTTATGCAAGGAGGAGCAGGAGGAGCACTGCCAGAGCCCTGCAAAATGACCTCCAGCAGGCCACAAATGTGCATGTGTCTGCTCAAACGGTCAGAAACAGACTCCATGAGGGTGGTATGAGGGCCCGACGTCCACAGGTGGGGGTTGTGCTTACAGCCCAACACCGTGCAGGACGTTTGGCATTTGCCAGAGAACACCAAGATTGGCAAATTCGCCACTGGCGCCCTGTGCTCTTCACAGATGAAAGCAGGTTCACACTGAGCACGTTACAGACGTGACAGAGTCTAGAGACGCCGTGGAGAACGTTCTGCTGCCTGCAACATCCTCCAGCATGACCGGTTTGGCGGTGGGTCAGTCATGGTGTGGGGTGGCATTTCTTTGGGGGGCCGCACAGCCCTCCATGTGCTCGCCAGAGGTAGCCTGACTGCCATTAGGTACCGAGATGAGATCCTCAGACCCCTTGTGAGACCATATGCTGGTGCGGTTGGCCCTGGGTTCCTCCTAATGCAAGACAATGCTAGCCCTCATGTGGCTGGAGTGTGTCAGCAGTTCCTGCAAGAGGAAGGCATTGATGCTATGGACTGGCCCACCCGTTCCCCAGACCTGAATCCAATTGAGCACATCTGGGACATCGTGTCTCGCTCCATCCACCAACGCCACGTTGCACCACAGACTGTCCAGGAGTTGGCGGATGCTTTAGTCCAGGTCTGGGAGGAGATCCCTCAGGAGACCATCCGCCACCTCATCAGGAGCATGCCCAGGCGTTGTAGGGAGGTCATACAGGCACGTGGAGGCCACACATACTACTGAGCCTCATTTTGACTTGTTTTAAGGACATTACGTGTAAGTTGGATCAGCCTGTAGTGTGGTTTTCCACTTTAATTTTGAGGGTGACTCCAAATCCAGACCTCCATGGGTTGATAAATTTGATTTCCATTGATAATTTTTGTGTAATTTTGTTGTCAGCACATTCAACTATGTAAAGAAAAAAGTATTTAAGATTATTTCATTCATTCAGATCTAGGATGTGTTGTTTAAGTGTTCCCTTTATTTTTTTGAGCAGTGTAGGTTATTGTAGACCACACATAGAGTGAAGAGGGCTACCAAAAGAACAGGAGAAGCAGTGGTCAGTGCCTCTTTTATTTTTGATGACTATTAGTCAAAACTACGGTTCAAAATTCCGGTACCTGTCCTAAAATTCCCACATTTTCCAGAAATCCCAGTTGGAGGATTGCCGGTTGGAGAATTACCTCTCTCTCCCTGCTTATTCACTCCTGATTCTAAGATTCCTCTAACTGAAGAAAAAAAAGGAATTTTGGGGAAGATTTCTATAACTAGGACATCGGCTATGGCATGATTTCTTTGCATGTCCAGTTTTTCTTCCTGAATACAAACGCTGGTATAGGTGGTTTCTATTCCTAACCATTTCTTACTTATTTTCCTTGTTTTCCCTCTCTCCCCAGACATGACGAGCTGGCGGGACGGTGGGGGCCGTGCGCTGGCGCCCACCGGGGAGGGGGTCGCAGAGGGTGGCCCGGGCGGGGCGCTGGTCATGGAGGGGGCGGCCGTTGGTGGCCAGGCAGGCCCCCCTCTCCAGCAGCAGCAGAACCCACAGTCCCATGGGCCGCCTAGGAACCCCCCCGCCGGCAGCCCCGTGCTGCCCCAGCCCCCCGTGGGCCCTGGCTTCCCACAGTACAGAGGGATCATGCCTCCATTTGTAAGTATAATAATAATATGCCATTTAGCAGACGCTTTTATCCAAAGCGACTTACAGTCATGTGCGCATAAATTTTTTTTGTGTATGGGTGGTCCCGGGGATCGAACCCACTACCTTGGCGTTACAAGCGCCTTGCTCTACCAGCTGAGCTACAGAGGACCACTAGGTTCGAAGTCTACTCCTGGTGTAATCTCTGCATGTGTGCTCACAAAAGCTGTATCTGTAGCTTTCAGAAAGTATTCACACCCCTTTACTTTTTCCACATTTTGTTATTACGTCTTGAATTTAAAATGGATTAAATTGAGATTTTGTGTTACTGGCCTACACACAATACCCCATAATGTCAACATGGAATAATGTTTTCAGGAGTAAACTTTTGCTTTACAAGTCACATAATAAGAACGCATGGGATTCACTCTGTGTGCTATAATAGTGTTTTAACATGATTTTGTAATGACTAGCTCATCTCTGTACTAATTATCTGTAAGTTCCCTCTGTCGAGCAGAGAATTTCAAACACAGATTCAACCACAAAGACCAGGAGGTTTTCCAATGTCTCGCAAAGAAGGGCACCTATTGGTAGATGAAAATAAAAAAGCAGACATTGAATATCCCTTTGAGCATGGTGAAGTTATTAATTACACTTTGGATGGTGTATCAATACACCTAGCCACTACAAAGATACAGGTGTCCTTCCTAACTCAGTTGCCGGAGAGGAAGGAAACCGCTCAGGGATTTCACCATGAGGCCAATGTTGACTTTAAAACAGTTACATAGTTTAATAGCTGTGATAGGAAACTGAGGATGGCTCAACAACATTGTCGTTACTCCACAATAATGATCTAAATGACAGAGTGAAAAGGAAGCCTGTACATAATGAATATATTTCTAAATATGCATCCTAAAGTAAAAATGCAAAACATGTGGCAAAGAAATTAACTTTATGTCTTGGATACAACACATCACTAAATACCACTCTTCATATTTTCAAGCATGGTGGTGGCTGCATCATGTTATAGGTATGCTTGACATCGGCAAAGGAGTTTTTTGTAGGATAAAATGAAACTGAATAGAGCTATACAAAGGCAAAATCCTAGAAGAAAACCTGATTGTCTGCTTTCCAACAGACACTGGGAGAAAAAGTAACCTTTCATCAGGACAATAACCTAAAACACAAGGCCAGATATACACTGGAGTTGCTTACCAAGACGACATTAAATGTTCCTGAGTGGCCTAGTTACCGTTTTGACTTAAATGGACATGAAATATATGGCAGGACTTGAAAATGGCTGTCTAGCAATGACCAACTTGACCGAGCATGAAGGATTTTGTAATGAATAATGTGCAAATATTGCACAATCCAGGTGTGCAAAGCACTTACTCACAGCTGTAATCGCTCCTAAAGGTGATTCTAACATGTTATGACTCAGTGGTATGAATACTTTATTTCATTTTCAATACATTTGCCAACATTTCTACAAACATGTTTTCACTGTCATTATGGGGTATTGTGTGTAGATGGATGAGAGGGAAAATTAAGGCTAGAAGACAACAAAATATGGAATAATTCAAGGGTATAAATACTTTTCAAGGCACTGTATTATATCAATAGCTAAGTTTTCATCCATTTGTAAAAGATTTTCAAGCGAGAACGCCTATTCTTAATATTCACACAAAATATATGCACAATTTACCGGCAGCGGTGTTTCCATCAAACTGGCTTGTTGCGAATATAAAGCTGTGTGTGATGACGTAGTGCACATTGAAAGCACTTTGTCGTATAACGTTTAATGTACCGAGTAAAAAAAGTTATGTTTTTCCATCCTTTTTATTTTTTTATTTTTTTACTCTGTTGGTTTTGGCATAAAGTCTTGACAATCCTGTCATTTTAAATAGGTGGTTCTGTGGATATCTCGTTAGCGAAGTTTCCTATAGTATATTAAGGTGTCAGAAACAGTGTTAGAACATCACACTGTTACTTGTACACAGATGGGCTCTCAGCCTGTTATCCACCAGTGTAGCAGCAGTCTACTGTCAATCTCTGCTTTTTTTGCACCACTGCTTTTGTGTATCTCTCTTAAGCAGGATCGCTAAATCTGTCTGTCTCTCAGATGTACCCTCCCTACCTGCCCTTCCCGCCTCCCTACGGCCCCCAGGGGCCCTACGGGTACCCTCCGCCTGGTGAGGCCCCTCCCAGGTTTCGCCAGCAGGGTCAGGACAGTCGCGGGCGTCCCCAGGGAGTTCCACGTGGCGGGGGAGGAGAGATGGTGAAGCGACCTTCCATTCTGAAGCAGGATGACCTGAAGGAGCTAGACGAACTGGACCACCAGGACGGAGACGAGGGCTGGGCAGGTGAGAAAAGAGAGAGGAGACGTCAGGACTCATGAACACCTATAATTATTGATTATACTGCTCAGAGAGCAGTGGCAAGTTTAAAAATCATCACATGAAGAATAGAGACCTGCACAGTGTGGGTACACTGTTAAATTGATATGAGAACGTTCCTTAAACAAGATGGGAAAATTATGACAGGATAGCCTGAAATAATGCACTTTATGAAAGCGTTATGTTAATGATATGTTTGTAAATTACACATGGTGACACAGATTTTTATTGCTCCACCATAATCTCACAAAGCATTAAACATTTTTCTGTTTGGCAAAAGAAAAGCATGACGCCAACTTCACACCCCCCCCACAAGGAAGCCAGCCCCAAGGGTTATTATTCCACTCTCATTCAATAAAATGATCTGATGGTGAGGTTGAAATACTCTGTATTCAAATCCCGAAAGGAAGTAATGATCTCACTACAAACATTTTAATAGAAAGTTGGCAAGATGGAAAGGACAATACCTGTCTATTTGTGAAAAAATGACCCTGATTAACTCTTTGGTCATATCCCAGTTTACCTGTTTATACTGAACAAAAATATAAACACAACATGCAACAATTTCAAAGATCGTACTGACTTACAGTTCATATAAGAAAATCTGTCAATTGCAATAAATTAATTAGGCCCTAATCTATGGATTTCACATGACTGGGATTACAGATCTGTTTGTCACAGATACCTTTAAAAAAAAAAAAAAAAAAAAGTAGGGATGTGGATCAGAAAACCTGTCCAGTATCTGGTGTGACCACCATTTATTTGCCTCATGCAGTGTGACACATCTCCTTTGCATAGAGTTGATCAGGCTGTTGATTGTGGCCTGTGGAATGTTGTCCCACTCTTCTTTAATGGCTGTGCGAAGTTGCTGGATATTAGCGGGAACTGGAACATGCTGTCATACACGTCGATCCAGAGCATCCCAAACATGCTCAATGGGTGACATGTTTGGTGAGTATGAAGGCCATGGAAGAACTGGAATTGTGTACAGATCCTTGAGCCATGGGGCCATGCATTGTCATGCTGAAACATGAGGTGATGGTGGCGGATTATTGGCACGACAATGGGCCTCAGGATCTCGCCACGGTATCTCTGTGCATTCAAATTGCCATCGATTAAATTGCAATTGTGTTCGTTGTCCGTAGTTTATGCCTGCCCATACCATAATCCCACCGGCACCATGGGGCACTCTGTTCACAATGTTGACATCAGCAAACCGCTCACACAACGCCATACACGTGGTCTGCGGTTATGAGGCCATTTCAATGTACTGCCAAATTCTCTAAAACAACGTTGGAGGTGGCTTATGGTAGAGAAATTAACATTAAATTATCTGGCAACAACTCTTGTGGACATTCCTGCAGTCAGTATGCCAATTGCATGCTCCCTCAAAACTTGAGACATCTGTGTGATTGTGTTGAGTGACAAATGCTCATTTTAGAGTGGCCTTTTATTGTCCCCAGCACAAGGTGCACCTGTTTAATGATCATGCTATTTAATCAGCTTTTTGATATGGCACACCTGTCAGGTGGATAGATTATCTTGGCAAGGCGAAATGATCACTAACAGGGATGTAAATACATTTGGGCACAACATTTGAGAGAAATAAGCTTTTTGTGTGTATGGAAAATGTCTGGGATCTTTTATTTCAGCCCATGAAACATGGGACCAACACTTTACATGTTGCGTTTATATTTTTGTTCAGTGTACTTATGGCCCTGCCCATTTTAAATTATATGAGCAAAAAAGATTCCACTTTATTTGGAACGGCAAGCCAGATAAAATTAAACGTACCTATTTATATAATGAATAAGAATTCAGAGGGCAGAAATTATTAAATATTAAAGCATTGGTGGACTTCTCACTAAAGCAGTGATCATCAACTAGATTCAGCCACGGGACGATTTTTTCTTGAGCGGATGGTCGGGGGGTGACCAGAACATAATTAGCCCAAACAGATATGTTTGACTAAAACATAATTATTTAAAACCTTACATTTGTATACGAACACACAGAAAACGTAGGGGGCCAAATAAAACCACCCGCGGCCACCAGTTGGGGAACCCTGCACTAAAGGCTTCAGTCATACAAAATCTATACTTAAATCCGAACCTTTTTCCCTTTATTCAGAATACAACCTCTCACTTTCGGTTATTTGAAAATCTCCAAAATATAGCTATTTTTAAAACAAGCATAGAAAGCTGGTTGCAATTTCAGTTTAATCCACCAGAAAAGACAGAACAAAAATTACAACAAATATTATGGTTAAACTCAAATATACTAATTGATAATATGGAAAATATGTTTAAAAATGGTATTTGTAAGTGATATCATAAATAACTCCACCAGTCCTATGTCACACATGCAGTTAACAAAAATATATGGAAATACAGTGGGGGGGAACAAGTATTTGATACACTGCCGATTTTGCAGGTTTTCCTACTTACAAAGCATGTAGAGGTCTGTAATTTTTATCATAGGTACACTTCAACTGTGAGAGACGGAATCTAAAACAAAAATCCAGAAAATCACATTCTATGATTTTTAAGTAATGCATTTGCATTTTATTGCATGACATAAGTATTTGATACATCAGAAAAGCAGAACTTAATATTTGGTACAGAAACCTTTGTTTGCAATTACAGAGATCATACGTTTCCTGTAGGTCTTGACCAGGTTTGCACACACTGCAGCAGGGATTTTGGCCCACTCCTCCATACAGACCTTCTCCGGATCCTTCAGGTTTCGGGGCTGTCGCTGGGCAATACGGACTTTCAGCTCCATCCAAAGATTTTCTATTGGGTTCAGGTCTGGAGACTGGCTAGGCCACTCCAGGACCTTGAGATGCTTCTTACGGAGCCACTCCTTAGTTGCCCTGGCAGTGTGTTTCGGGTTGTTGTCATGCTGGAAGACCCAGCCACGACTCATCTTCAATGCTCTTACTGAGGGAAGGAGGTTGTTGGCCAAGATCTCGCGATACATGGCCCCATCCATCCTCCCCTCAATACAGTGCAGTCGTCCTGTCCCCTTTGCAGAAAAGCATCCCCAAAGAATGATGTTTCCACCTCCATGCTTCACGGTTGGGATGGTGTTCTTGGGGTTGTACTCATCCTTCTTCTTCCTCCAAACACGGCGAGTGGAGTTTAGACCAAAAAGCTATATTTTTGTCTCATCAAACCACATGACCTTCTCCCATTCCTCCTCTGGATCATCCAGATGGTCATTGGCAAACTTCAGACGGGTCTGGACATGCTCTGGCTTGAGCAGGGGGACCTTGCTTGCGCTGCAGGATTTTAATCCATGACGGCGTAGTGTGTTACTAATGGTTTTCTTTGAGACTGTGGTCCCAGCTCTGTTCAGGTCATTGACCAGGTCCTGCTGTGTAGTTCTGGGCTGATACTCACCTTCCTCATGATCATTGATGCCCCACGAGGTGAGATCTTGCATGGAGCCCCAGACCGAGGGTGATTGACCGTCATCTTGAACTTCTTCCATTTTCTAATAATTGCGCCAACAGTTGTTGCCTTCTCACCAAGCTGCTTGCCTATTGTCCTGTAGCCCATCCCAGCCTTGTCCAGGTCTTCAATTTTATCCCTGATGTCCTTACACAGCTCTCTGGTCTTGGTTATTGTGGAGAGGTTGGAGTCTGTATGATTGTGTGGACAGGTGTCTTTTATACAGGTAACGAGTTCAAACAGGTGCAGTTAATACAGGTAATGAGTGGAGAACAGGAGGGCTTCTTAAAGAAAAACTAACAGGTCTGTGAGAGCCGGAATTCTTACTGGTTGGTAGGTGATCAAATACTTATGTCATGCAATAAAATGCAAATTAATTACTTAAAAATCATACAATGTGATTTTCTGGATTTTTGTTTTAGATTCCTTCTCTCACAGTTGAAGTGTACCTATGATCTAATTTACACACCTCTACATGCTTTGTAAGTAGGAAAACCTGCAAAATCGGCAGTGTATCAAATACTTGTTCTCCCCACTGTATCTGCTCTATCCAAAATTACAACCAACTGATTGCAGCATTACCACAAAAATGGAGGAGTCAAGTGGAAGGGGGAGAAGGTAAGGAACTTGTCTGTCAGCACTACCAAAATTGGTTAAAGAAAAAAAATTGGGCTAAAGTATACCGTACAGTTTAATTTAAGGACCAACAGCTGTGCCATACAGGTTGCAAAGGGATTTTCGATGTACCGATTCCATGGCACATGGTTTATGAACTGATACATTAAAACGACACCGGATTCAAAACTTAGTTTTTCAATGTAAATTATTATACAAAATTAAACCAATAGAGTGTTATATGGGGGATACTACCATCCCAGCTCTGCAGATTTTGCTGCGAAGAGATGGAATCATTAGATCACTTGTTTTGGTACTGCCCTTATGTAGCTTGTTTTTGGTCACAGGTTCAGGAATTGCAACATGTACCTTGAGCTAACTCTGCAAATAGCACTGCTGGGGGATTTGAAAAGTAATAGTCAATCGATCAATAATATAATTATACTCTTAGCAAAAAAAAGTATTTAATTTACAATCTGTATAAGCTATGAGAATAGAAAGGTTCAGAACTTTTGTGAAACAACACAGTTGAAAAATATATGTCCCCTGTAGCTCAGTTGGTAGAGCATGGTGCTTGCAACGCCAGGGTTGTGAGCATGGTGCTTGCAACGCCAGGGTTGTGGGTTCGTTCCCACGGGGAGCCAGTATGAAAATGTATGCACTCACTAACTGTAAGTCGCTCTGGATAAGAGCGTCTGCTAAATGACTAAAATGTAAAATGTCATTAGAAATCAAAACTAGATGGTTTTCTGAGATAGATGGGAGGGTTTGAGGGTAGCTGAAGGGTGAGACAAAAAAAATGACTAATGTAAAATATACTGTCATAAAATGTATATAGTAGTAGCAGGAGTATTGTTGTCCATTAGTTTACTCCAATTAGGGGAGGGGTGGTCGTGTTAGGGGAAAATAATAAATATATAATAATAAATACATACAAATATGTATATATGGGGGATTGGAAATGATGCAGACAATTACATTGATAAAAGCCACAATCTAGCTGCAATATTAAAGCTGATTTACCCCCTAAAAATGGTTGAGGATGTCAGCGGTACAAATGCGTTCCATTGTGCTTCTACTCTGAACCGTTGGGTCTGTCAAACAGGGGCACATGAGGAGATCGACTACTCAGCCAAGTTGAAGTTCAGCGACGATGAAGGAGAAGAAGAGGGGGATGAGGAGAGGAACGAGAGACCCGAGAGGAGTGAAAGAAGCGAGAGCAAGAACGGCCCACGGTATGTCCCACAGTAGCTGCCCAGCATAACAGAACGACATGGTGTGGAAAATCAGTTTGACCGTTTCAAACTTTTTGTACTGTTCTCTGCTAGCAATCCTCCTTTGTCCCATCTAGACCGATACACCCACATAAATGGTTTCTGAATTAATAAAGGACAGAGCCAGAAAATAACAAATTCATGAAATGAGTTGTTGCATGTGGGATTGCTTTTGACGTGACACGCGTAGTCTCATTTCCTTCCCCAGGGAGATACAGAGGTCTCAAGAAGGGCCCCTTCACGTGGCCCAGCGCTCCCGAGCCTCTGACAGCGGAGGGGACAGGGACACCAGCCGCACCCCTCTTTCCAATGCCGACCACGACGGCCCCCCACCCCCCTCCAGCAAGCCAGGATGGGCCGAGGAGGGGTGCAACAGCGGCCCCGCCACGTACCAGGTACGACCCTCGGCAAGGGCTAGTCTAGTAGACGTTCAGAGGCAGCTCAGGGATAATATGCAAGTGAACAGTGACCATTTTATAGTAAATAGCAGGATTGCGTTGAGGACATCGATATTAGCGTAATGGCTAACTAGATGCGTCTGGCTAATTTTAACCTGTGGCTGCCTGTACACTACAGGGGCGTAGGCCTGGACTGGGTGGCCACTGGGAGCAGCCCTCCCCCCCACCAGGGCCTCTCCTCCACCAGGGACAGGGGCCTTACTCCTACTACCGACAGGTATCTGCCTACCTGGGGAGAGAGAGGGCCTCGTATATACACAGAGTATACATAACATTAAGAACACCTGCTCTTTCCATGACATAGACTGACGGGTGAATCCAGGTGAAAGCTATGATCCTTTATTGATGTCACTTGTTAAATCCACTTCAATCGGTGTAGTTGAAGGGGAGGAGACAGGTTAAAGAATGATTTTTAAGCCTTGAGACCATTGTGTATGTGTGTGCCATTCAGAGGGTGAATGGGCAAGACAAAATATTTAAGTGCCTTTGAACAGTGTATGGTAGTAGGTGCCAGGCGCACCGGTTTGTGTCAAGAACTGCAACGCTGCTGGGTTTTTCACGCTCAACAGTTTCCTGTTTTTATCAAGAATGTGGTCCACCACCCAAAGGACATCCAGCCAACTTGACACAAGCTTCGGAGTCAACATGGGCCAGCGTCCCTGTGGAAGGCTTTCGATACCTTGTAAAGTCTATGCCCTGACGAATTGAGTGTTCTGAGGGCAACTCAATATTAGGAAGGTGTTCCTAATGTTTTGTATACTCAGTGTATAGCCGCATAGCATTTTCACACACTTTTTTGCGGTTCAGTTATTATTTATTTGAGTTATTCATACCATCCCAGGAAAGTTTCTTTTTCATATTGCAGCCAAGATTGTGGTCGTATGTGTCCTCATTCCAGTTTCTCCTCACCCAGGACCGCAACTCCCCTAATCAGTCCGGCCCGGTGGTAGCCCCCGGAACTGTCTCTGCCTCCCTGGCCCCCGGGAAGCCCACTCCCTCCCCGCAGCTCCAACAGCAGCAGGCTACTTCCCCCGTCCCCGGAGGCCCCACCCCTCCGCCGCAGACAGCCGGCCTGCTAGCCCCGCCCCCGGGCGAAGACGAGGACGAGACGTGGCGACAGCGCAGGAAGCAGTCCTCCTCGGAGATCTCGGCCGCCGTTGAACGCGCCCGCCGGCGCCGCGAGGAGGAGGAGCGAAGGATGGAGGAAGAGCGGCGCGCGGCCTGTGCTGAGAAGCTGAAAAGGCTGGATGAGAAGGCCCAGCAGCAGGGTGGTGGTGGTGGGAGCAGCGGAGGCTCCAAGCCCCCCAGTCTGGACGGCAACTCCGCCACAGCCGGAAGCCCCAGCCCTTCCCTATCGGCCTCGGCCTCCTCCCCCAACATCAGCCAGCCCCCGTCCCCCTGCGTGGACCATGACGAGCCCCCCCTGGCTGCCCAGGCTGTGACCAGGGACCTAGTGCCAGGTCCCAGTCACACCGACAGACAGAGGGCCAATAGCAACAGCAGCTATGACTCCAATACTGGTGAGTTTTAACTATGGCTGTGGCGGTCATGACATTTTGTCAGCCGGTGATTGTCATGCAAATAACTGCCTGTCTCACGGTAATTGACCATTGATTAACTTAAACATGTTTAGCATCTCCTGGCTTCCATGCATAGCCTACAAGCCAATGATGCGGACCTTTGGAACATCTACATTTTAAAGTCTAATAAATCAATTTAATATAGCCTACACCAGGGGTGTCAAACTCATTTTAGCTCAGGGGCCACATGGAGGAAAATCTATTCCCAAGTGGGCCGGACCGGAAAAATCATGGTATATATAACTTAAAAACAACAACTTCAGATTGTTTTCTTTGTTTTAATACGATCAACATACAACATAAAGCTGGAGCCTGAGGACAGTGTGTCCAAAATAGTACAAGCACAACATCACTATTAATCATAAAACACGTCAAGTTTTTTTTGAAAATTCTAAAGTAAAAGAACACAAACACACAATGCCTCAGTGATTCACAGAAGTATATCACAGATCACAGAACTATATCAGGGTGTCATTTCTCAGGCAGAAATGTAGATAAAAATAATGAAATCCTGTTCCCCAAACAAGTGCAAGAACCACAGAGTCAAGAATAGGTTAAATATACAAATAAAATAAAATCAATTAAAAACAATAGCACATCAACATAAAAACATATAAACATAAAGCTGGAGCCTGAGGGACAGTGTCCAAAAGCACAACATCACTATTAATCATAAAACACCAAGTTATTTGAAAGTTCTGAGGACAAAGAACACACAAACACACAATGCCTCAGTGATTCACAGAAGTATATCACAGATCACAGAACTATATCAGGGTGTCATTTCTCAGGCAGAAATGTAGATAAAAATAATGAAATCCTGTTCCCCAAACAAGTGCAAGAACCACAGAGTCAAGAATAGGTTAAATATACAAATAAAATAAAATCAATTAAAAACAATAGCACATCAACATAAAAACATAAACATAAATCTGAAAGCGTTGCTCAAACTCCCGTAACAGTCCCGTTATTTTATCTTTGAACCGCTTCATGTCTGCCACATGTTGGGTCGCGCACACATTTTTCAGACAGGGGAAGTGAGCTGCATCACCACCGGCAAGTTGCGTCTCCCACAATGACAGCTTCAACTTGAAAGAACGTATGCTGTCATAATACTGCGTGACAACTTTGTTGCGCCCTTGCAGCTGTTTGTTCAAGTTATTCAGGTGCTCTGTAACATCCACCATAAATGCAAGGTCCTGCATCCATTCTGCGGAATGAAATTCTAACACTGGTTTGCCCTTTTCTTCCATGAACTGTTCAATTTCTTCTCGTAAATCAAAGAAACGCCTCAGCACAGCACCTCGGCTTAACCATCTTACCTCAGTGTGGTATGGCAGGCCATAGATGTGGTCTTTCTCTCTGAGAAGGCTGTCAAACTGACGGTGATTCAGGCTTCTGGATCGGATGAAATTAACAGTTTGGATGACCACCTTCATGACGTTATCCATCTTTAATGACTTGCAACACAAAGCCTCCTGGTGCAAAATACAGTGAAAAGTCAAAAAATCACGTCCTCCATTTGCAGATTGCACTTTCTCTCTGAACTTTGTCACAACGCCTGCTTTTTTCCCGATCATTGAGGGCGCACCATCTGTAGCCAGGCTGACAGCGCGGGACCAGTCCACTCCTACCCTGTCCAGCGCGCCGACGAGTGCGGTAAAAATATCAGCTGCTGTCGTTGTATCTGTCATCGGCACCAACTCCACGAACTCCTCGGTGACGGTCAATGTGTCATCAACTCCGCGGATGAAAATGGCCAGTTGTGCAACATCTGTAATGTCCGTGCTTTCATCAATTGCAACCGAAAACGCAATAAATGACTTTACTTTTTGCTTCAACTGGCTGTCCAAATCCACTGAAAGATCGGAAATCCTGTCTGCAACTGTGTTTCTTGTCAGGCTGATATTTGCCAAAGCCTGCCGCTTTTCAGGGCACACAATCTCCGCTGCCTTCATCATGCATGTTTTTACAAATTCACCCTCACTAAATGGTTTTGAAGCCACTGCGATTTCATTAGCAATGAGGTAGCTAGCTTTCACTGCAGCGTCACTGATGTCTCGGCTGTGAGTAAACACAGACTGCTGTTTCTTCAGACCCGCCAACAGTTCATTCACCTTCTCTCATCTCCGCTGTCCTTGAAAGTTGTCATATTTGTAGGCATGAAGACTCACATAGTGGCGACGAAGGTTATATTCTTTCAGCACTGCAACATGCTCTGAACACACCAAACATACAGATTTCCCATTCAATTCCGTGAAAAAATAGGATGACCATTTTTCTTGGAACACTCTGCACTCTGCGTCCACTTTTCTCTTTTTTGACAGAGACATATTGGGGCAATGAGGGTGCCAAAGCACATAATGTTAAAAGTAGAAGCCGTAATAAATATCGCGGGCAAAACAAAGTAGCTCATTGGCTGCACGTGCTTGACCTACTTGCTCTGCCCCGGTATAAACAGTTTGCTTGCTTAACACAATTGCTATTACACCATCTAGTGGACGCAATTGGAACAGCAGTTTATTTTATTGAAAAATTGCAGCGCATTTTCAAAATCATCTCGCGTGCCGGATTAAACCCGTTTGCGGGCCTGATCCGGCCCGCGGGCCGGACGTTTGACACCCCTGGCCTACACCATCACAATAAATCCATTATTTATTTTAGGCAGATCTAAAGAAACTGTAGCCTATTTCAGAAGAACAGAATAGCATATTCTGAGTCGTCCTTATGTTAGGCCCTGATCTGGCTATGCCATATGGCTGTGGGCTACACTAGTTCATTTACCAGACAAGATTTTCGTATAATTCCCGTGGCATTATTTTATAGTAAGAAGAATACAATTGAACATAGCTGAATAAAATAGAAAGGATATTTTCTCCAAACGATTTCCGAAGAAGTGCGCACATGCGGCTATTCTGTGTTGAGTGGTTAACAAAGAAAAAGGTCCTCCTATATGCTTAATTTAGAGTTATTTATGCAACTTTAGTTGTGATTCAAACATTAAGCTATATGTTTAGATTTTTTATACATTCTAAGGCTGCACTAATGATGATTTGAAAATAATCTCATGAAAGGCATGAGCTCTGCTCTGTTTCTTGCGCAGGCTGCACACACTTCATCAGTCTCTCATTCACTAAATATACTTAAGTATCAAAATTAAAAGTATAAATAATTTCAAATTCCTGATATTAAGCAAACCAGACGGCATCATTGTCTTGTTTTTTAATTTATTTACCGATAACCAGGGGCACACTCCAACACTCAGACATAATTTACAAACAAAGCATGTGTGTTTAGTAAGTCCGCCAGATCAGAGGCAGTAGGGATGACCAGGGATGTTCTCTTGATAAGTGCGTGAATGGACCATTTTCCTGTCATGCTAAAAGCATTCAAAATGTAACGAGTACTTTTGGGTGTCAGGGAAAATGTGTGGGATAAAAAGTACATTATTTTGTTTAGGATTGTAGTGAAGTAAAAGTTGTCAAAAATATAAATTAAGATACCCCAAAAAACTACTTAAGTAGTACTTTACAGTATTTTTACTTAAGCACTTTACACCACTGACAGAAATAAATAAAATCATTCAGAATAGGCTACTAATGATTTGGCAATAGAGGATCATTAGTGTCTTTAAAAAAAATAAGTTGTGCATTGTTTTAAATCGCATTGCCTACAGTCAGAAGGAAAGGCAGCGCGGCAAATGCCAAATACATGATTGTTGAGTTGCGACTGTCATCGAAAAGTAGAGGCCCAGCCAGGCATATCGCAATGTTTCAAAATACAATCGCGGGAAAACAAATGATTATTGATGTAAAGAGAAGACAATGAAGACTCTAATTTGTCTTTTAGTTATCAAAATTATCAACTTAATTGAGAGAACAACAGTATAGCCTGTCTTATTGGGACCAGCCTATGGACAATGTCGTTTTTATTGATCTGTTTGTAAGTGTCAGTAGAGTAAGCTACCCTGTAATTTGTCGTGTTAAAAAAAGATTATGCTAATTCATATAAAGTGTAGTAGAATAGCATGAAATGTGTTTTAAAAGGCCACAATTTTTCAGTGCAAAGAAAGAAATCTGATTTAGCCTAGGCCTACTCTACGCTACACGTATTTTTTGCGAACAGTGATTGAGCTTTATTATTAGCCTAAATTGTGACAATCCAATCTACTCATCACATTACGAATAGTAGGCTATCTTAAATCAGTCTACAGATGCATGGAATGCTTTATTATAAAGGTGCATTTTTATGGTAAATTTGCTTCCCCTTGAAACTCGCACTGCCGGCTTCACCGGTTGTAAAGCAGATTAATATGCTTAATTTTAAGAGTTCCGCAATAAATATAGCAGCACAAGAAAGCTGCAATTTCAATTTAATCCTCCAGAAACGACAGAACAAATAATGCAACAAATATTGTGGTTAAACTCAAATATACAAATTGATATAAAAAAACACAAAACAAATTTAACATTTTTTAAAAAGGTATAATCTTAATAAATTATATCATAGGTAGGACTGGTGCAGTTATGTTGCACATGCAGCTAACAAAAACATATGGAAATGTCTGCTCTACCCGAAATTACAACCAAATAATTGCAGCATTACCCCAAAAATGGAAGAGGGAAGGGGGAGAAAGTAAGGAACTTGTCTGTCGGCCCTGCATTAAAGAACATAATTGGTTAAAGAAAATTGTGATAAATAAAAAAGTATACCAGTTTCATTTAAGCACCAAAGGATTGACAGCCGTCCCATATAGATTGCAAAATAGTTTGGAAGAGGTTTTTGACGTACCATAATGTTTATGAACTGATCTGCAAAACGACGCCGTATTCAAAACATATAATTTTTCAATTTAAATTATTATACAAAATTCTTGCTACCAATAGAATGTTATTTATATGGGGGATACAATCTTCCCAGCTCTGCAGATTTTGCTGCGAAGAGACAGAATCATTAGATAATTTGTTTTGGTACTGTCCATTTGTAGCTTGTTTTTGGACACAGGTCCAGGAATGGCTAAAGGATTGCAATATTTACCTGGAGCTAACCCTGCAGATGGCACTACTGGGTGATCTGAAAAGTCATAGGCAACTGATCAATAATATAATACTTTTAGCAAAAATGTTTATTTTCAATTTACAATCTGTAGAAACAATGAGAATAGAAGGGTTCAGAACTTTTGTAAAACATCACAGTACAGTTGAAATATATATGGCAGGTGTTAAGAGATAGATGGGTGGTGTTGAATGGAGTTGACGGATGGGACTAAACAACTAACAACAACTAATAACAACAAGATAACAAATGTAAAGCATACTGTGTCCATAATAAATATATAGGTTATAGGTTGAGAGCTTTTGTGAAAGAGCACAGTTAGAAAGATATGGCATATAGAAGCAAACCGGATGGACATCATGAAAATGATTGGAGAGGTTGAGGGTAGAGGAAGTTCAGGAGTAAAAACAAACAAAATTGAATTATTGTAAAATTGACTGTGTCCATAAAATGTATATAGTATGTATAAGCTGGAAGTAGAGGCCTAAGCGTTGTTGTTCACTAGTTTACTCTCAATTAGGGAAGGGGTGGTGGGGTTGGAAAGTAATTAAGGGAAATATATTTAAAGAAAGGATATGTATGTATGTATGTATGTGTGTGTGTGTATATATATATATATATATATATATATATATATATATATATATATATATATATGTATATATATATGTATGTATGTGTGTATACAGTGCCTTGCAAAAGTGTTCATCCCCCTTGGCATTTGTCCTATTTTGTTGCATTGCAACATGTAATTTAAATGGATTTTTATTTGGATTTCATGTTACTTGTGCTCATTCACATCTGCTTACCTCTTTCAACAATCAGTGGTATATCATTGCTATATTCTCTCCCTTTCCTCCATCCAGACACCCAGATGTGTCCCCAGCCCCCCACTCCCCTGCTGCAGCAGCCCCCTCTGGAGGTTCTGGTGCCTGGGGAGGGGAAGGAGGAGATCCTAGGTAGTGCTCACGTCCGTGGAGGAGGAGTGGTAGACCCAATGAAGGTAGAGGGCATGGCAGGAGGAGCAGGTCGCCAAGCCAGCGCCCCCCCCGGACAGGGCTACTCCAAGTACCAGAAGTCCCTGCCTCCCCGCTTTCAGAGGCAGCAACAGGTCAGTCTAATAACCTATTGAAAAAAATTTCAGAAACTTTGAACATCCCACGGAGCACCATTAAATCCATTATTAAAAAATGGAAAAAATATGGCACCACAACAAACCTGCCAAGAGAGGGCCGCCCACCAAAACTCACGGACCAGGCAAGGAGGGCATTAATCAGAGGGGCAACAAAGAGACCAAAGATAACCCTGAAGGAGCTGCAAAGCTCCACAGCGGAGATTGGAGTATCTGTCCATAGGACCACTTTAAGCCGTACACTCCACAGAGCTGGGCTTTACGGAAGAGTGGCCAGAAAAAAGCAATTTCTTAAAGAAGAAAATAAGCAAACACGTTTGGTGTTCGCCAAAAGGCATGTGGGAGACTCCCCAAACATATGGAAGAAGGTACTTTGGTCAGATGAGACTAAAATTGAGCTTTTTGGCCATCAAGGAAAACGCTATGTCTGGAGCAAACCCAACACCTCTCATCACCCCGAGAACACCATCCAGCAGCATCATGCTGTGGGGATTTTTTTCATCGGCAGGGACTGGGAAACTGGTCAGAATTGAAGGAATGATGGATGGCGCTAAATACAGGGAAAAAGCTGTTTCAGTCTTCCAGAGATTTGAGACTGGGACGGAGGTTCATCTTCCAGCAGGACAATAACCCTAAGCTTACTGCTAAAGCAACAATCGAGTGGTTTAAGGGGAAACATTTAAATGTCTTGGAATGGCCTAGTCAATGCCCAGACCTCAATCCAACTTGAAGTAGCTGGAGCAGTTTTGCCTTGAAGAATGGGCAAAACTCCCAGTGGCTAGATGTGCCAAGTTTATAGAGACTTACCCCAAGAGACTTGCAGCTGTAATTGCTGCAAAAGGTGGCTCTTAAAAGTATTGACTTTGGGGGGGTGAATAGTTATGCACGCTTAAGTTTTCTGTTTTTTTGTCTTATTTCTTGATTGTTTCACAATAAAAAATATTTTGCATCTTCGAAGTGGTAGGCATGTTGTGTAAATCAAATGATACAAACGCCCCTAAAAATCCATTTTAATTCCAGGTTGTAAGGCAACAAAATAGGAAAAATGCCAAGGGGGGTGAATACATTCGCAAGCCACTGTACACGGGGGGATGAAGCCCAGTCTAATGAACGTATTTGGGGTATATATTGTCCCTTTCACATTCCAAATTGAAGCTCCATTCTATAAAGCAAGCAAACCGTTCCATTCACTGTCCCAGAAAATACAAACCAATGTGGGACCAGAGTAGTTGTTCTGTTCTTGACGCAGCATTGCAGATTGGCTTAACCTTCCCAAAGTTTGAGAAACTTACCACTACCTTTTTGTGGCTCCATTTTATGACTGCAGATCCAATACAACAAACACTATAAATAATCTGCGTTCGAATTCAGTCTGAGTAGGAGTGCTGATATAGGACCAGTTTCGCCTTTTCAATGATAATGAATAGCAATATACAGTGCATTCGGAAAGTATTCAGATCCCTTGACTTTTTCCACATTTTGTTACGTTACAGTCTTATTCTAAAATGGATTAAATAGTTTCCCCCCGCCCTCATCAATCTACACACAATACCCATAATGATAAAGCAAAAACTGGTTGTATTTGTTGTGTGCAAATGTATAAAAAAATTATAAACTGAAATATGACATTTACATAAGTATTCAGACCCTTTACTCTGTACTTTGTTGAAGCACCTTTGGCAGCGATTACAGTCTGCCACCACCATGCTTCACCGTAGGGATGGTATTGGCCAGGTGATGAGCGGTGCCTGGTTTCCTCCAGACGTGACACTGGGCATTCAGGCCAAAGAGTTCAATCTTGGTTTCATCAGAGCAGAGAATCTTGTTTCTCATGGTGAGTCCTTTAGGTGCCTTTTGGCAAACTCCAAGCGGGTTGTCGTGCTTTTTACTGAGGAGTGGCTTCCGTCTGGCCACTCTACCATAAAGGCCTGATTGGTGGAGTGCTGCAGAGATGGTTGTCCTTCTGGAAGGTTCTCCCATCTCCACAGAGGAACTCTGGAGCTCTGTCAGAGTGACCATCGGGTTCTTGGTCACCTCCCTGACCAAGGCCCTTCTCCCCCGATTGCTCAGTTTGGCCAGGCGGCCAGCTCTAGGAAGAGTCTTGGTGGTTCCAAACTTCTTCCATTTAAGAATGATGGAGGCCACTGTGTTCTTGGGGACCTTCAATGCTGCAGATTCTTTTTCGGACCCTTCCCCAGATCTGTGCCTCGACACAATCCTGTCTCTGAGCTCTACAGACATTTCCTTCGACCTCATGGCTTGGTTTTTGCTCTGACATGCACTGTGAACTGTGGGACTTTATATAGACAGGTGTGTGCCTTTCCAAATCATGTCCAATCAATTTAATTTACCACAGGTGGACTCCAAGTTGTAGAAACATCTCAAGGATGATCAATGGAAACAGGATGCACCTGAGCTCAGTTTCGAGTCTCATAGCAAAGGGTCTGAATACTTATGTATACAGTGGGGGGAAAAAAGTATTTAGTCAGCCACCAATTGTGCAAGTTCTCCCACTTAAAAAGATGAGAGAGGCCTGTAATTTTCATCATAGGTACACGTCAACTATGACAGACAAATTGAGAGAAAGAAATTCCAGAAAATCACATTGTAGGATTTTTAATGAATTTATTTGCAAATTATGGTGGAAAATAAGTATTTGCTCACCTACAAACAAGCAAGATTTCTGGTTCTCACAGACCTGTAACTTCTTCTTTAAGAGGCTCCTCTGTCCTCCACTCGTTACCTGTATTAATGGCACCTGTTTGAACTTATCAGTATAAAAGACACCTGTCCACAACCTCAAACAGTCACACTCCAAACTCCACTATGGCCAAGACCAAAGAGCTGTCAAAGGACACCAGAAACAAAATTGTAGACCTGCACCAGGCTGGGAAGACTGAATCTGCAATAGGTAAGCAGCTTGGTTTGAAGAAATCAACTGTGGGAGCAATTATTAGGAAATGGAAGACATACAAGACCACTGATAATCTCCCTCGATCTGGGGCTCCACGCAAGATCTCACCCCGTGGGGTCAAAATAATCACAAGAACGGTGAGCAAAAATCCCAGAACCACACGGGGGTACCTAGTGAATGACCTGCAGAGAGCTGGGACCAAAGTAACAAAGCCTACCATCAGTAACACACTACGCCGCCAGGGACTCAAATCCTGCAGTGCAAGACGTGTCCCCCTGCTTAAGCCAGTACATGTCCAGGCCCGTCTGAAGTTTGCTAGAGTGCATTTGGATGATCCAGAAGAGGATTGGGAGAATGTCATATGGTCAGATGAAACCAAAATATAACTTTTTGGTGTAAACTCAACTCGTCGTGTTTGGAGGACAAAGAATGCTGAGTTGCATCCAAAGAACACCATACCTACTGTGAAGCATGGGGGTGGAAACATCATGCTTTGGGGCTGTTTTTCTGCAAAGGAACCAGGACGACTGATCCGTGTAAAGGAAAGAATGAATGGGGCCATGTATCGTGAGATTTTGAGTGAAAACCTCCTTCCATCAGCAAGGGCATTGAAGATGAAACGTGGCTGGGTCTTTCAGCATGACAATGATCCCAAACACACCGCCCGGGCAACGAAGGAGTGGCTTCGTATGAAGCATTTCAAGGTCCTGGAGTGGCCTAGCCAGTCTCCAGATCTCAACCCCATAGAAAATCTTTGGAGGGAGTTGAAAGTCCGTATTGCCCAGCGACAGCCCCAAAACATCACTGCTCTAGAGGAGATCTGCATGGAGGAATGGGCCAAAATAACAGCAACAGTGTGTGAAAACCTTGTGAAGACTTACAGAAAACGTTTGACCTGTGTCATTGCCAACAAAGGGTATATAACAAAGTATTGAGAAACTTTTGTTATTGACCAAATACTTATTTTCCACCATAATTTGCAAATAAATTCATTAAAAATCCTACAATGTGATTTTCTGGATTTCTTTTTCTCATTTTGTCTGTCATAGTTGACGTGTACCTATGATGAAAATTACAGGCCTCTCATCTTTTTAAGTGGGAGAACTTGCACAATTGGTGGCTGACTAAATCCTTTTTTCCCCACTGTATGTGATATTTCCTTTTTTTTTTTTTTTTATTAAAAACTTTTAGTATGGTCTGTTCTCTGTCAATTTTGGGAGTTGAGACAAAAGGTTAAGTTTTCCTTTATTACAGTAACATTTCTCAATGTGTTTTGGTGTACATAGAATATGACCGATTCTGTTGGACCAAACCAAAATGCAAATAGTGAGTTGAAACCGCTTGTCAGAGAGGAAGAAGTGATCTTTCATCTTGCGAGTGGCAGGGGGTGGGGGCTTGGTGTATGTGTTTGAGTGGGAAAGCTGCACACAGCACAAAAGAAGCGAAGGAGACGAGACCAAAAAGACAACATAAGAAGAAGCGGACATAAACACTGATTCTTGCGATACAGGCATTTGGAATTTTGCGGTAAAACATCGATTTTAGTTAATCGAATGAACTCTATATATCTCCCAGCCCTACACGCATGACTGTAAGCCTTTCGATAAAGCGTCTGATAAATGGCTTATTATTATTATTATTATTATTATTATTATTATTATTATAACATCTCGACCACTTGGTGTTTTCAGGAGCAGCTGATGAAGCAGCAGCAGCAGTGGCAGCAGCAGCACAGCCAAGCAGGTCAACAGAGCCAGCAGCAGCTCCAGCCTCAGCAGGCCCCCCAGCAGCAGGGCCCTTCCCTAGGGGCCACCCCTCAGACCCAGGGTCCCAAGCAGCAGCAGTCAGGGCCCCTGCAGTACACTCCGCAGGGCTCTATGGGCCGCGGCCCTCTGCCCATGAACTTTGACCCGCGCTGGATGATGATGCCCTACATGGACCCCCGGATGATGCAGGGGGGCATGCAGGGTCGCCCTCCAGGGCCCATGGACTACTACCCTCCCAACATGCAACACGCAGGTGGGTACTCATGGTAGTGTGGTTTGAAGGTTTGCAGTCGAGTAGGCATATTGTCATAGAGCTGAATCTGAATTTGCATGGAACAAAACATTGTAAAACATCTATTGAGGTCAATGGCAGATTTGTGCAAACCAGATTTAAATGTAGGATTTAGCCCATAGAGATTATGACAATGCAGTAAAAGTTTAAATGCTCTAAGAAATAGCACCAGGTTGTCAGCCAAAATTTGAATAATTCAATGTGACTTTTCTAACGTGACTCTGTTGCAGGGATGATGGGACGAGAGCGCTCCGATTCGGGGGGCTCTGGTTCGGACAACTTCGACAGGCAGCAGCACCCGGGACACCCCCACAGTGGGACGCCCCCTATTGACACCAAACTGGCCTGGGGGCCCGAGGTGTTCCCCGGGGGCAGCGAAGGCAGGGGACTGAGCTCCCCCCTGAGACAGAAGCAGGCACTGGAAGAGGATGATGTCAGTGGCAAAGGGACTAGGTAAAACAGAGGGGGTCAAATGTCACTCATGATCATTTAACTCTGGGGAAGTAGATAAAGGGCCCCATTTGCCAAAATCCCGAAGTATCCCTTTAATTGTCAAATCGTACAATACTGATTGAATAGGAAAATATGTTAGTTGACATCACATTAGATTATAAATATTTTAATTGAGTCAGTGTTGTAAGTACAGGATACGGTTTCCATAAGTGTTTTATTAAATCCCTGGTTTTTATTTTAGGAGTGACACCCCTCCAGTCCGTGGTATGCGAGAGGGAGGGCCAGGCCCCATCCAGCAGCCCGGCTCGGGCTCCTCCAACCAGACTCCAGCACCTGTGGGCACTCAGGTGGTGGGCCATGGAGGAGGCAGTCACCACCACCAGTCCTACATGGGCGGCCGGGGCAACTACATCAACTTCCCCGACCAGGGCTCCCGCATGGCCCCCCACCAGCAGCAGCAGCAGAGGGGGAGTGATGGAGGCTTCAGCCACCAGGATGAGGGTCAGGGCCACAAGGGCGGTCAGCAACAGGGCCAGATCTGGGGGGGCCCCCGACCCCAATACGACCGCAACGGGCGCACTGACCTCTCCCTCCTGGAGAATAACAACCCCCACCACCCTCAACATCATGGTCATCAACAACATCAAGCCCCCTCCCACTTCCCCCTCCATCTCCACAAGCCCGAGAATGGCCGCAGCGAGAGAGGAGGCGAAGCCCCGAAGAAGGGTGATCCCTCGACCCCGCTCCAACAGCCGTCCCTCTCCTCCTGCTCATCCTCCTCCTCCTCATCCTCAGCCAGGGAGGACGGCAGTGGAAAGGTGGTCCTGCATCACTTCCCACCTCAGCGCGAGGCCGATACAGGAACCGTGCAGAGAAATGAAGCAGGAAGCGGCAGAGAAATGAAGCAGGATAAGATGGGCCCTGGCCACAGCCACTCTCAGTCCTCTGTGACGTCTCAGCAGTCCCATCCTCAGTCCCAGCAGCAGAGGCAGGGCCAGGAGCAGCAGCACCACCGTGACCCCAAGCCCAACCAACGGGAGCGAGGGGGGAGGGAACACAAGACTGAGACCCAGTGGGGGCCACGGCCCGGCAGCAGCAACGCAGGAGGCCCCTCTTCACACAACAGGAGAGCAGTGGGTGGAAACTCCCGCGGAGGTGAGGATTCATCCAATCACCCAACAGCGTCTGACCACAACAAACCTGCCGGCAGCCAATCGGGAGGCGGCAACACCAACAAGAGGGCGGGGCCTATCAAGAGGCCCGTGCTGAAGCGAGAGGGAGGGGAGGGCGAGAGAGGAGAAAAGACCAGCGGAGGAGGCTTCGGAAAAGACGAAAGACAAGATGGAGGCCATTCATCAGTCAAGCAGGAAGCATCCTCCGGCCCACAGAGCTCCTCTGCAGTGTCTGGTAAAGAAGAGCCAGCTCAGACCGGTCCCAAACCCAGAAATGGAGGGAAGGATCGAGCAGTGAACGAACGAGGAGGAGTGGGCAAGGGGCCCAAAAATGGGGTCAACCCCACCCCCTCATCAGGGTACTCCGGCCCCCCCTCTAACAGGCGGGACAGAGAGCGCTCCTTCGAGAGAGGTGGGGGCGCGTCCTACCATGGTGTCCCTGCCCGTGGCAGCAGAGTCAGCCGAGGGCGAGGTGGCGAGTTCTACGGGCGCGGCCGGGGTTACCGGGGCACCTACACGGGCATGGCCGGTGGCGGCAGTGTTGGCCGTGGCAGGGCAGCGAGCAGCAGGAGCAGTCGAGACTACCGATCCGGCGGAGGCTACGACGAGGCATCGGGGGGAAGGCGCGGCCGAGGGGGGTCGCAGGCCAACCCGGGGCGCGCACGTAATCACAGCGAGACCCGCAGCGAGGGTTCCGAATACGAGGAGGTCCCCAAGAGGAGGAGGCAGAGGGGGTCGGAGACGGGCAGCGAGAGTGCCGCCAGCGACCTAGCCCAGTCGGACAAAGAAGACCGTAAGTCAAGCACCAAGAATGGCAGCGGCACATATAACGTTACCGGTAGCGGCTCCGCCCCACCCAGAGGCTCCCAGGCCCGGGTGTTCACCCCCAGAGGTGTGCCCTCCAGGAGGGGCAGGGGGGGAGGCGGCGGGGGAGGAGGTATCTATAGAAGTGGTGGAGGAGGAATGGCTGGAGGTCACAGGTCAGGATCCAGGGCCGACCCTCACGGCTGGGCCTCCAAGTCCTCAGCCTCGGTCCGCAAGCAGCAGGCCCCAATGCAGTCGGCCGCACCCAAAGACACGGGTCGCGGAACCAGCGGGGAGAAGGAGAAGGCAGCGGACGGAAGCCGAGCTCAGAATCAGGGAGGAGCAACCCCTCCGCAGTCTATCCCCGCTGCACCTACTTCAGCTCCACAGGGCTCCATGGAGAATGGAGGCGTTGGGATCCAGCAGTCAACGGCTAACCCCACTACCAACTCCAGTGGGCCCCTTCCGCTCCCTCTCTCCGGCCCGGACGGGCGTGACTTCCCTTGCGTCCCCCGTGATGGCTTTGAGCGCCCCCCGAGACGCCGTCGCCACGGGCGCTCCCAGCACCAACAGGACAAGCCACCGCGCTTCCGGCGGCTGAAGGAGCGAGAGAACGCCGCTCGCATCAACGGAGGAGTCGGGGTCATCGGAGGAGGACGACCCTCCTCGCCCGGACAGAATTATGTTCAGGATGTCACCGACGGCGCTCCCAATGCGGCGCCCACAACCGGCGGTGCCCCCAACGCTAACCCCAATGTTACCACGGCTACTAACAACAGTACTGGCGGCCATCTTGGAAGCGCTAACGCAAACAGTCACCACCACCATCACTACAACCAGGGCATCTCCGGCCAGTCCCACTCTCAGCATCACCACAACCCAGCGGGGGGCGCCAAATCCCCCGACTTCTCCAACCAGAACTCAGATCAGGCCAACGAGGAGTGGGAGACTGCCTCCGAGAGCAGTGACTTCACCGAGTTCCGGGAGAGGGAGGGGGGAGGAGGGAAGTCCTATTCCTCCCATCACCATCATCACCCACACGGAAGAGGAGGTGGAGGCGGAGGAGTGGTTGGAGAGCGAGAGATGAAGGCGAAAGAGCAGGCGGCAAACAAGAGAAGCTTCTCCAGCCAGCGTCCCGGGATGGAGCGACAGAACAGGAGGGTCAACGCTGGAGGAAGAGAGGGAAGAGAGGGAGGGGGAGGAAGAGGCCCACGGGGCCCGCCCGGTGGGGGTGGAGCCGGAAACGGAGGGGGCCAACGCGGCGAGCGCCGTGGAAACTGGCCCTCCCCCAAAAACAGGAAGTGAAGTGGAAGATCTGGAAACATTTCAAATGCATCCCCCCCACCCCACGCCTCCTCTTTATCCCTTTCTGTCTCTGTCGTTCCTTCAGCCTCTTATCTGTTATTATCCCTTAACATATTAGCACATTATTGTACAGTGTGCACACTCACATTAAGCTTCTTTCTCTCTTCATCCATCTGCTATCTACCGTCCGTTATTGTAAAGTGTCACTCTGCTCCCTCCCTGTCATGCTCCCCCCTTTTCAGTTGTCACCCCCCACCCCCCCACCCTTCAGAATTCCACCCCAATTTAGGATCAGCAGACACGCTTGTTCGTTTTGAACGCACACCTTTTGACGGAAAACATTCAAAAAACCCAACACACGTGTTTGCATTTACAAGCACAATATGAAATATAACAGACATATACAACCACGCTCAGTAGTGTGTATGCAGTATGACATGATAAACATGTCATGATAAACATGTTGGATGAATTGGCTAACCAGTAGAAGGCAGATTTTTATATTTATGTACCTGTGTATATTTCTACCACGCTTTGGGCTGGGGTGGTATTCGGTAGGGCAGTTATCTGCATTATATTTTCCACTTGGGGGAGGGGTGCAGGTTATTATTTTAACGAGAACAATTGTACCATAGATTTATACAAAATAATTATCTTCCTTTGTTTTTTTTGTTTTTTTTTTGCCTCATTTGTCAGTTTTGTTTCGCCCCCCCCCCCCCCCCCCCTAAAAAGTTAGGGGTGTGTATTTTTTCTTCTGCAAAGCAGGTCATTAAAATACCTTTTTATACAACCTCTGAGTTTTTGATCTCCTGACGTACAAGGACATCTCTTTAATTACTGTGACAGCCACAACAGGCCAGTTGAAGTACTACTGCTCACCCATCCACACTCTCCTCACATTGATCTTGTCTCTAATATCAATGTCTTTGCTGCTTGTTCAGAACTAGACGGTGTGATTTTGTTTTTGTTGACCTGCTCTTATTACTTTCCGTTGCTCTTTTGGTCCTGTTAGATAAAAGGTTCTCTCAACGTAGCATTATCTTCTCACACGCTGCAGACGTTCTATACCAGGGGTCTCAACGCTATTCCTAGAGAGCTACCCTCCTGTAGGTTTTCACTTCAACCCCAGTTGTAACTAACTTGGTTCAGTTTATCAACATTTACATTTACATTTTAGTCATTTAGCAGACACTCTTATCCAGAGCGACTTACAGGAGCAATTAGGGTTAAGTGCCTTGCTCAAGGGCACATCAACAGATTTTTCACCTAGTCGGCTTGGGGATTAGAACCAGCGACCTTTCGGTTACTGGCACAACGCTCTTAACCACTAAGCTACCTGCCGCCCCATCAACCAGCTAAGTATGAGAATCAGGTGTGCTAGATTAGGGTTAGAGTGAAATTCTACAGGACAGTAGCGCTCCAGGAACAGGGTTGGAGAGCCATGTTCTATACATTGCAAAAGACGTTTTGCGGAAGAAAGATTCTCTCCTGTTCATTTTCAAGTTTGTTTACCCTAAGAACACTGAATTGATAGCTTGAATGCTTTATATAAAAATAAAACAAATACATTTTCTGTGGAGGCTATTTTTTTCTCAAGATACTTTCACATGAAATTTCTGGTCAAAATGTGTTCAATGAAAATGTAAGTCATGTTGCGGGAAAGAAATACAAAGTTATTTGCTCTTATTTTAAGATACCGTTTGACTATTTTTTTTTTCTTTGAGATATATATTTTTTCTTCAATAGATAAATGAGTCCACTCCTATAGTATAAAGAACTGGTTGGTGTATTTTTATTGAGCAGATTTGTTACATTATGCAGCAGGTGTCGTACTCTGGTTCCAGAGTGCTAAGTTTGGCCATCGGAGTATTGTACTATTATATTCACGCTGTCCTACTCAATGCAGGAAGGCGCTCTACTCAAATACAACTGCACTGTGCTGTAGAAGAGACCCCTGTAACAAAAGTAGGGCTGGCAAGAGCTCCATATTGAGGAAGTATTTTCAAAGCGTACATTATTTCAAGACAACCTTTCCAAAACCTCGTTGCAACTATATAGCTCAATTGAACTGAATCTTGGACTATGGTGGGAAGGGGTAAGGATGGCGTGTTGTCACACCACTGAATTTCCAAATACATTTGCAAGGTATAATACTGTTCTCCAAGAGTGTTACTGGGAATACATGGGTTTAGAACTTTTGATGTACACTGACAGATGTATCACACGACTCACAAAATGGCACACAGCTTGTTCTGAAAATTTGATGGGGGCGGGGGGTGGCATCCAAGTTGAAATAGATACAATTATAACTTTTTTTTATTTATTTTTTATCTGCATACATTTTTCACTCCTTGTAAGTTGGGGTTTGTTTCTTTACTGACAGCCACCATTTTAAGATTGGCTTTGGGATGTTTTGAGTAGGGCGTTTGAGTGTGCATGCATTTTCTGGTGTCTGTATAATAAAAATAAATTGGGGGGAGGTAATGTGGATGGCAAACACTTTTGCCTTGTTTGCCCACACTTAGTTTTAATAACTATATTAAGACAATTCTACAGTTTTCTTTCTTATACATTTACGTATATACATTCGTGTGTGTGTGTGTGTGTGTGTGTGTGTGTGTGTGTGTGTGTGTGTGTGTGTATATATGTTTATCCAAATGAAGTACATAATCAGTTCTTTGGGTATATTGACATTTTTGCCATACACTAAGGCAGTCAAAATGAAGTGGGTACATTTGATGTTTCACTGACTTCTACTAAGCATTACCACATCCATGGGTGCAGCTTGCCTTGCCTGTGAAAACAACATTGGTAGCCATACACTTAACACAGGCTTATATGAGCCCTGCATCCTTCCTTAACTCTTACTGTTGATGTGCTCATATTGTATGTATCCATGTTTAAAGAAAACAATAGTGTATTCTTGAAAACCTCAACGATTGTACTATATTTACAGCATTACCAAGGTACCTGGAGTGGTTAAAACTGTTCTATAATTTATGGTTTATTAATGGAACCGTAACATACCAATATATACATGTGTATATATCAGTTTTTGTCTACCCCAACTTACATTCCCACAAACAAATATTGCCATTTTTTAAGTTCAAGGGAGCAATGTACAAGCAGAGAAGTGTCTTATAATAATACAATTACAGAGAATAAACGTTTGTTTTAATGGAAAATCTGGTTTTGTCCGAGTTTATTATGAATTGCCCCCATGTGAAGAAGTGGACACTCAAATAATTAAATCTAGATTAATTTCAGCACCTGGGCAATGGTAGGTGGTTCTCTGCACTGATATGTATGTACATCATGGTCTTGCAGATTGATGATCATTGTATGGAGGATAGGAACTTGCAATTTATTTGATTGGGAAATACTGCTCAGCTATGGATGGATGCTCGCTGGATAGAGCGCTTAGCTGTTAACTAAGAGTCTGTAGGCTTGAGGCCTTCCCACCTAGAAAGGAATACCTGGGATAGGATAAAGTAATCTTTAAACCCCCCCCCTTACCCCAACCCCCCCCCCCCCCCCCCCCCCCCCCCCAATATTTTTAAAAAAAATAAAAAACATTGTAAAGTGGTTATCCCACTGGCTATAAGGTGAATGCACCAATTTGTAAGTCGCTCTGGATAAGAGCGTCTGCTAAATGACGTAAATGTAAAGGCTTTAGCTTAATTAATGTGTATGGGTTGCATTCAGAAGATGTGGGATAGAAGTCTTAACAAGGGCTGGGAGATTTTCACTGCCGTTTAGAGCTTTGAAGGTTCTTGGTCTAAGTGCTATCCTAAGACCTTGACTGGCTACTGCAAGCCTTATAAAATCAATGCCTCCCCTACAGAACTTGGCCACCTTTGTTACAGCATGATTCATGAAGGACCCAAAAACATGAGGAACCATATTCTTTGTGTCCACAGTAGGCATATAATCTGTAGAAAGTCATTACAAGCAGACAAGGAAATATCAAATGTATCTCTGTCTTGCTCTGGACTGCCCTAACTGATGGCGTATCAGAGAAGCTTGAGAAAGACTGGTCTATATAAGAGGCAGTTATAACTTCTGTTCCCACCCTACATTTTATACTGGACAATATATTAAAATCATAACACAATAAAACCTCAGTTTTTTCTGCCTTTCTCTTAATAACTTTGTTAAAAATATATTGTTGTTAAAGGACTTCAAAACTACAGTACCCATAGACGTGCCTGAACGTGTAGGTCATCAATTTGCCTACAACGAAAACCCCTACCTCTGCAGCGGTTAAGTGGGAGGTGGTGTCCATTTTATTTACAACACTAAATATTACGTTTCTCATATTTTACTGGCGTAAAAATCATTAAAGAGGGGGTAAGTTACCTGAATTACTACATGTATTTATATGAGATATGATATAACTAAGAGGACTTGCGACTGAAAACGGATCAAATTTCATGCGGCCTAGTTTGGACGATGCGCCATATTGAATTTCCATCTGGCTTTAGCTGCTAGCTAAGGAGGTAGCTAGCTATCATTTTCTGCTGGTCATTTAGCATAACTCTTGGGTACGTTACTAACTAAGATTGTTGATGTAACATAGGTATTTTCATGGGTAATATACTTATTCGTACACTTCCAATGATTTAGCTAGCTAGCTAACGTTAACTACACATATTTGCGCGATAGCCCTAGTTAACTAGGTAAGCCTCCTACAGTTAACATTTTCTAGTTACCTAGCTAATTGCTCTTATGGTTTTGATATAATTATGTTTGTCTTATTTTATTGTTGATAGCTACCTATGATATTTGAGTGTTGCTGAACTATCAACCGCCGTTTTCACATGACTGAATGCCTTTGTGTTCAATGGCTTTAGCCTTTAGTTTCCCGAGATGAGCAGTTCAGAGGAAGTGTCATGGATCTCCTGGTTCTGTGGACTGAGGGGAAACGAGTTTTTCTGTGAGGTCAGTATCTTACAGCTCCCAGGGCAATGTAGCCAAACTCATTGACCAAAAAGTGAATGTAAGCTAAGATGGGTGGCCAATCCTTTATCCTGGGTGAGCAAGGTTTTTGCTTCAGCCCTATACACCTGATTCAGCTAACCAAGGACCTGATGGGCAGGTGGTGAGTTGAGTAGGGCTCGAGCAAAATCCTGTTATTCACAGCCACCCCTCACTACACAAACTCACCTTCAAGCATGAATATGTCTGATATTTGTTGCTAACTTCTGTCACCCCTTCTGTCCTCTCCTGCATTGGCAGGTGGATGAGGACTACATCCAGGACAAGTTCAACCTGACTGGGCTCAATGAGCAGGTTCCCCACTACCGCCAGGCCCTGGACATGATCTTGGACCTAGAACCAGGTCAGCCCAACTCCAGAACCATCTCTACTGCACTCGGAAGTACAGAACATCCCACACAATTTAGATCAGAATACAAATATTATGGTTGCATCACCTCAGTGTTAAAGTTGTGTACGCACACTAAATTGCCTCAGTGGTCACTAACCCTGATGAGTTATAGTGTGTGGCAGGCGTTTGTTCTAGCACAGCACTAAAACACCTGATTCAATATTTTTGGGTTGCCGTATTAGATGCCGATATCTTTAGCATGTGTAAAGATGTCACAGTTATGTACACAAATATGCTTTTGTGAGTAATCTTTTAATCAGAACATATGAGTGGCCTCTTCCCTGCTCTTATAATCTCTTCCCTCCTCTCTCTGTTCCACAGATGAGGAGCTGGAGGACAACCCCAACCAGAGTGACCTCATAGAGCAGGCAGCAGAGATGCTCTACGGGCTGATCCACGCACGATACATCCTCACCAACAGGGGCATCGCTCAGATGGTACAGCAACTACCCTTCTCTGTTTCCAATGTTTGTTGAAAGGCTGCATATCACATGTATGCAGCATGTCGATTGTATGCAGCATTTCTACAGAAATGTTTTTCATGTTCTCCATTGATCTCAATCTCTCTTTCTCAGTTGGAGAAGTATCAACAGGGGGACTTTGGCTACTGCCCCCGCGTCTATTGTGAGAACCAGCCCATGCTACCCATTGGTGAGTGTGTGTCTGTGTCTTGTTTCAACCATAATAATTGACTGTATAAGACTTGAGGGTTGTTTTGGGTATCCAGCCACATTGCTTTCCTAACCCAAACTATGCAACTCAGATCCTCCGTGTACAGTACTGTATCGCAGAATCCTCTGTAATTTTATTATATTTTTTATAGAAGATTTGAATGTATTACGATCCATGTCAGATCTCGTTTCCAAGAGACGCCTGGATGAATACAGTAGTGTGTCCTCGAGCATTTCATAATAACTTCAGACCAGTAACGTGTCTAAACTCTCCCCCTCTCTGTCCCCCTATCCCTCCCTAGGTCTGTCAGATATCCCAGGCGAGGCTATGGTGAAGCTGTACTGCCCTAAGTGTATGGACGTGTACACGCCCAAGTCCTCCCGGCACCATCACACGGACGGGGCCTACTTTGGCACTGGATTCCCCCACATGCTCTTCATGGTGCACCCCGAGTACAGGCCCAAGAGGCCCGCCAACCAGTTTGTGCCGAGGTCAGTACCACTGTGTTACCCTAAAATAGGGTTGTGCGTTTGTCATTCCCACGTAACTCACTGAAAGCAAGTCCTAGATCAATTTCTACTCATAGCAGATCATTTCCTAAAAAATTTCAGGTACATACCAGAGGAAACGGTCATGTAAAAATAAGTGCTACCATAATAGAATCTCTTCATAGACCCCTATCACGCACTCATCAAGATCTAATGAATTCTCATGTCCTCACAACAGGCTTTATGGATTCAAGATCCACCCCATGGCCTACCAGCTTCAGCTGCAAGCAGCCTCCAGCTTCAAGAGCCCTGTCAAAGCCATCCGCTAAAGCCCAGAGAGAGAAAGAGGGGAAGAAAGGGAGAGAAGAGGATGATTATGAGAGGACGGGTCATCTACACAAAGCTCCATACAGATGCCTCCTCCCCGTCCTGCAGACTTTATTATTTGGTTTAGGTTAGGACGATTGAGAACAATGTGTAAAAAATTAAGTGTGAGCGAGACAAAAACACACCGCTTCGATCCCAAACCCTCACACACACACACACACACACACACCTACACCTACACATGTACACATACACTTAGGATTTCATGCATCTATGTTACCAAACTCACCAGTGCCAAAACAGAAAAGGGGGAGGGGAAGAAAGTCCATGGATGTTATTGGATTTGACTCTACTATTTCCTTTTGTGATATTAGCCCATTTTGCCCCTATGAACTCTCAACGTTCTGTTGTTTTCTGTCCTGTCTTTGGCACAGTTTGGTAAAGGGTCGTGGTAGACCATCACCACTGGTTGAATAACAATCCCTGCTCTACCCCCATATGTATGTACACTGGCTGGCTCTCACAGATACTGCTTGGTTGATGATAAGGACTAAATCTGTCACTAAGGGTGTTGCCATTTCACCTGCTTCTGTAAACCATTGTTTTACCAAGGCACTCACTCAGGCTTGTATCAGTCTTTTATTGAGTGACACTTACTTAAGCCACTGTGTCAAGGCGGTCATTCACAATAGTGTTCTGTCAAATTTCTCTTAAACTAAGAAACGCACAGGCGCTGTGATTTGTGGTTTACAGGAAGTGCACGTCTAGGACATATTAGAGCTTTGAATTTGTACATGTACGACGTAGGATAGACAAGAATAAACCTGAAATGAATTAAATGTTCTAGAATGGCCCAGAAAAGACATAACAACACACCTGCTGTCTCTGTGTGTCACCCAAAATAACAGTCCTGTTTGTGCTGGTACAGCACGGTGAGAATGTCGGCTCTGTCACTGTCACGTGTTGCTGGGCTAGTATCACTGCAACAGGACACATCTCTCTCCACAACTGTACTGACTTGACTGGTGTCCCTCCACACATTATAGTATAATTATTTATGTAAAATATAGCGACAGAAAATCAGCTTCTATTTGGGGATGTTTTTTATTTGTGATGCAGTAGGGGTTTCATCACCCTACTGCACATGTACTTTTGAGTCCTTGTGGCAAAAAGTAGAATGCTTGATATATGTTTTGATTTCAGAACAATAAGGATGGATTTGTCAAGATTATAATTAATGTATGTCTGTGTGTTTTTTTGCAACCGTGGAAGAGTGACCAGGATTCAGAATTCTCAATAAACATTCTCTTTTTATACAATTGTGTTTGGTTTATGTATAAATTAGATACTTATTTCTCCATAGTCACCATGAAATGGTTGTAAAAAAAATCCCTCAAGTATGGGACTATCTCCCTCTGAATCTTTTATAGCTGCCCTGCTAGTCAGCAGTTCTGTGAGCATTTTGAGAATTAAGAAAATTTACCTTTTCTAATCTTCTCATTGATTTCCTGTCAGATACTTGAAATATTGTACCAAACCCCTGAGGTACAGCTGTTCTTTTGCCACATGGTGTCAATGATGAGCTGGATAATAAGTGTAGACCATTTTGGCATGTCTATCTGTCTGATCTGTGATTGTTTACGATACATTGTGAAGGCAATAGTCACAAAGGGCTTATATCTGATGCGCAATACTTTATTTGTGTGTGTTTGTCTGTCTGGTGGTGTGTGTGAAAGAGAGCATGCATGTGCATACGGGCGAGCAAGCACATGCTCTGAGGTGTGTATGACTAACAGCTATAAATCCAACCTCAATTCTATTCTAAGGGCTTACTTTGTTGTGTGTCTTAATTCCTGGCAATGTGGTGCGTTACATGTTTGAGACACTTCATACATGGCTTATACATTTATGGGAAGTTATACAATTTCCATAGAGATAGATTGAACACTCATCTTTGTATCTGTGCCATTATAGTGTCTGTGACAGCATGGGAAGCGCTATTGAGGCAATCTCCATTTTGAAGTAGTACATTTTCCTCTTCACGATTTGCTGATCCCTCCTAATGACCCGGTTGGATATGACTCCAATAGGGTCACCAGGAGGGATCAGCCAATGAAGTTGGAAGTCCCACCCAGTTGACTACATTAAAATGGTGGAAGCCCTGGAAAACTAAAGGCATAGAAACCGTAAACGACTTGGTAACAGGAAATACATTTATTTCCATGACAGAATTAAAAAGCAATTTTGGACTGACCAATGTAGATATTTTCAAATACATGCAACTTAAGAGACAAAATTCACAAATTCTACAGTACAACGGCAGAGTCATGTCTTAAGTGTAAAACTAATAATGACTCAATCATCCATGCTTTCTGGGAATGTTATAAAGTCCAAAAGTTATGGGCGGAGCTAGAAAGTTGGCTGTCAGAAGTATTACAATGTAAACATACTTTTAATCCATCTGCATATTTCAAAACATGGCATATGGGGATGTACCAAGTTTGCTAGCTGAATAAACTAAGTTAGAGTCTATTCCTAGAAAACATTGAACCGCTGTAGTTTACAACAATTATAATTTCTAAAGTGGAAGTTGGGAGAGTTATATTTGAGTGTTTCAGTGAAACGTAAGTGAGGGAGGCCCCGCTCTCTCGCTTTCCCAGATGTTTAGTTCATTTCATTCCGATCTCCTTTGCAATATTGTAGCCTTTTTCTGTAGCCTGTCAACTATGTGTCTGTCTATCCCTGTTCTATCCTCTCTGCACAGGCCATACAAACGCTTCACACCGCGTGGCTGCTGCCACTATAATCTGGTGGTCCCTGCGCGCACAACCCACGTGGAGTTCCAGGTCTCCGGCAGCCTCTGGAACTGCCATTCTGCGGCCAACAAGGCAGAGTTCATCTCAGCCTATGCTACCCTCCAGTCCCTCGACTTCTTGGCGCTGACGGAAACATGGATTATCACAGAAAACACTGCTACTCCTACTCCTACTGCTCTTTTCTCGTCTGACCATGTGTTCTCGCATACCCAGAGAACATCTGGTCAGCGCGGCGGTGGCACAGGAATCCTCATCTCTCCCAAGTGGACATTCTCTCTTTTTCCCCTGACCCATCTGTCTATCTCCTCATTTGAATTCCATGCTGTCACAGTCAATAGCCCATTCAAGCTTAACATCCTTGTCATTTATCGCCCTCCAGGTTCCCTTGGAGAGTTCATCAATGAGCTTGACGCCTTGATAAGTTCCTTTCCTGAAGATGGCTCACCCCTCACAGTTCTGGGTGACTTTAACCTCCCTACGTCTGCCTTTGACTCATTACTCTCTGCCTCCTTCTTTCCACTCCTTTCCTCTTTTGACCTCACCCTCTCACCGTCCCCCCCCTACTCACAAGGCAGGCAATACGCTTGACCTCATCTTTACTAGATGCTGTTCTTCTACTAATCTCACTGCAATTCCCCTCCAAGTCTCCGACCACTACTTTGTATCCTTTTCTCTCTCGCTCTCCTCCAACAATACTCACTCTGCCCCTACTCAGATGGTAATGTGCCGTCGCAATCTTCGCTCTCTCTCTCCCGCTACTCTCTCCTCTTCCATCCTATCATCTCTTCCCTCTGCTAAATCCTTCTCCCTCCGATCTCCTGATTCTGCCTCCTCAACCCTCCTCTCTTTCTGCATCTTTTGACTCTCCATGTCCCCTATCCTCCCGGCCAGCTCGGTCCTCCCCTCCTGCTCCGTGGCTTGACGACTCATTGCGAGCTCACAGAAAAGGGCTCCGGGCAGCCGAGCGGAAATCGAGGAAAACTAGACTCCCTGCGGACCTGTCATCTTTTCACTCCCTCCTCTCTACATTATCTTCCTCTGTTTCCGCTGCTAAAGCCACTTTCTACCACTCCAAATTTCAAGCCTCTGCCTCTAACCCTAGGAAGCTCTTTGCCACCTTCTCCTCCCTGCTGAATCCTCCTCCTCCTCCCCCTCCCTCCTCCCTCTCTGTGGATGACTTTGTCAACCATTTTGAAAAGAAGGTTGAAGACATCCGATCCTCATTTATTAAGTCAAATGACACCGCTGGTCCTGCTCACACTGCCCTACCCTATGCTTTGACTTCTTTCTCCCCTCTCTCTCCAGATGAAATCTTGCGGCTTGTGACGGCCGGCCGCCCAACAACCTGCCCGCTTGACCCTATCCCCTCCTCTCTTCTCCAGACCATTTCCAGAGACCTTCTCCCTTACCTCACCTCGCTCATCAACTCATCGTTGACCGCTGGCCATGTCCCTTCCATCTTCAAGAGAGCGAGAGTTGCACCCCTCCTCAAAAAACCTACACTCGATCCCTCCGATGTCAACAACTACAGACCAGTATCCCTTCTTTCTTTTCTCTCCAAAACTCTTGAGCGTGCCGTCTCTAGCCAACTCTCCTGCTATCTCTCTCAGAATGACCTTCTTGATCCAAACCAGTCAGGTTTCAAGACTGGTCATTCAATTGAGACTGCTCTTCTCTGTGTCACGGAGGCTCTCCGCACTGCTAAAGCTAACTCTCTCTCCCCTGCTCTTATCCTTCTAGACCTATCCGTTGCCTTTAATACTGTGAACCATCAGATCCTCCTCTCCACCCTCTCCGAGTTGGGCATCTCCGGCGCTGCTCACTCTTGGATTGCGTCCTACCTGACCGGTCGCTCCTACCAGGTGCCGTGGCGAGAATCTGTCTCCGCACCACGTGCTCTCACCACTGGTGTCCCCCAGGGCTCAGTTCTAGGCCCTCTCCTATTCTTGCTATACACCAAGTCACTTGGCTCTGTCATATCCTCACATGGTCTCTCCTATCATTGCTACGCAGACGACACACAATTCATTTCCTCCTTTCCCCCTTCTGATAACCAGGAGGCGAATTGCATCTATGCATGTCTGGCAGACATATCAGTGTGGATGTCGGATCACCACCTCAAGCTGAACCTCGGCAAGACGGAGCTGCTCTTCCTCCCGGGGAAGGACTGCCCGCTCCATGATCTCGCCATCACGGTTGACAACTCCATTGTGTCCTCCTCCCAGAGTGCAAAGAACCTTTGCGTGACCCTGGACAACACCCTGTCGTTCTCCGCTAACATCAAAGCGGTGACCCGATCCTGCAGGTTCATGCTCTACAACATTCGCAGAGTACGACCCTACCTTACACAGAAAGCGGCACAGGTCCTAATCCAGGCACTTGTCATCTCCTTCTGGATTACTGCAACTCGCTGTTGGCTGGGCTCCCTGCCTGTGCCATTAAACCCCTACAACTTATCCAGAACGCTGCAGCCCGTCTGGTGTTCAACCTTCCCAAGTTCTCTGATGTCACCCCGCTCCTCCGCACACTCCACTGGCTTCCAGTTGAGGCTCGCATCTACTACAAGACCATGGTGCTTGCCTACGGAGCTGTGAGGGGAACGGCACCTCCTTACCTTCAGGCTCTGATCAGACCCTACACCCAAACGAGGGCACTACGTTCATCCACCTCTGGCCTGCTAGCTCCCGTACCTCTACGGAAGCACAGTTCCCGCTCAGCCCAGTCAAAGCTATTCGCTGCTCTGTCACCGCAATGGTGGAACAAGCTCCCCCACGATGCCAGGACAGCGGAGTCACTGACCACCTTCCGGAGACACTTGAAACCCTACCTCTTTAAGGAATACCTGGAATAGTATAAAGTTATCCTTCTTCCCCCACCCCCTATATAAAAAAAAAGGTGGTTGTCCCACTGGCTATCATAAGTTGAATGCACCAATTTGTAAGTCGCTCTGGATAAGAGCGTCTGCTAAATGATGTAAATGTAATACCCAATGGGGCTGGACAATTCTCTTCTCATCACTCACGTTGTCACGCCCTGACTCAGGGGACGCTTAAATGTTGAGTCAGGGTGTGTATATTCATTGTTGTGCGTTTTCAATGGGTGTTATTCTGGTATGTATATATCTATGTTGGCCGGTGTGGTTCCCAATCAGAGGCAGCTGTCGCTCGTTGTCTCTGATTGGGGATCATACTTAGGCAGCCTATTGGCACTAGTGGGTTGTGGGATCTTGTTCCGCGTAAGGTATGTTGTGTGTGCTACCTTGGACTTCACGTTTCGTATCGTTTATTGTTTTGTCGTTGTGTTTATTTGGTTTAATAAACATGTACGTATATCACGCTGCGCCTTGGTCTGACCCGTTCTTCAACGAACGTGACACACGTTGAAAAAATGTATACTAAAAACGTGGCAATCAATTAATCAACCATCGTTAACACAATGTAAAGATCTAATAATTTATTATTAAAATATTGAAATACATGGGCGACAGAAAAACAAATTGGTAC